CATGGCAAGATCAGTTTATTGGATCAACAAGTCGGATTGTCGCAATTTCTTCTTGTTAAGTTCGTGTATACGCATAAAGAGGATGTACGTACGATGTACGTTTCCAGGTTTGATACATACTGACAGTATCTGACAGTATGCATGAATCATCATAAATCTATGTATGTGTCTTACAAACATGTCATAAGGTCACTTATTTCCCCCTACCATCTGGATCCATCTGGTATCAGATATGGCTTGCTGGGAGAGCCCGCATTGAGTTCGATGATTTTCCCAGCTAGAAACCTCCATGTGGCTCACGGATTTTCAACCATGTTTGATTACCGGAGGATATCTACTAGTCATATCTAGTCATATTAATCTAATATCCAGTCCAACAGTCCAACACCAACATGCTTATTGAAGCCACAATCCCAATAATGCCCAAAAATCTCCATGAATCCCAACAAAAAATCATATAACATGTTTTTCAGTAACATAAGTTACTTGAGGATCATCCCACGATTCGGAACTGGTTTCTATTTGCCTAGTTGGTAGATCACCATTCAGTAGGATTATCCCATTTATAAATGGCTGGACTAACTATAGTTACCAACCAGCTACTACTGTAAGTGGGAGATATTTCATATCACGCTGGTTATATGTATATATTCCATATCTCCAGTATTAATCCCAAGATATCCCATGTTAAATATCCCTCTTATAGGGGATCGCCAGTTGCCATTTAACTGGCATAACATATATAATTATATATATATATATACATATGCACAGACAACCGTGCACTCTGCGTAGAATCCTCAGGTGAGCTCCAGTTTCGTGTGGGCCTGTGACTTGGGCTGCAGCAAAAGAAAGGGCTGAATTTACACATGGATCTTTAAAATGGGCTAATGATGGGGGATAATGCATAATGTTATCGATGATTTATCTGTAATATCTCCAATTACACATGAGCTACCAATTACAGCTAGTTAAACTAGTGAATTCTAGTTGCAATTAGTTAATTAACAATTAGGTATAGTCGGTCAACCATTGTATTCCCAATATACCCTCTGGTTATTTAACAATCATCATAAACAATCGATAAATGAGCCAATTGTACCATAGCTATGTCATATGTGTTTGAATAACCAGAGTGTAAATGAACTATATAAGCTAAACTTGGAAACATACTTGAGATACTCAGCCGTCATACGTAGCCAATTTGGGTTGCTCTAATCTAAATGTATGATGGCAAAGTAAGTCATTCAAATGGATGGAAAATGGATGGAGATTTACTACACGGAAGTGGTCAGTGGACACCGGGAAAATACCAGATTTGACCTCTCCGCGATTGGTCTACCTTGGTATCTGGCCCATTGAGTTACGAGATTTTCCCCTACTAAAACCTTCGCGGCTGCGGGAATTTCCCAGCCATGTTTGATGACACCGGAGAGTAGTACTAGACGTGCTGATCATGCTGAACATTTGTTTGCGGATTGCAGGGCTTGAACTATGATTCGGAACTCAGAAGCAACAGGGAATGCTGAACAAAGGGAAGTTTTTCTGAGAGTCGAAAAATCCAAGCTGGACATGTGGTAAACTGATGTAAGCTGGTAAACCAACCAACACTGCTTGCCAGGTGCATCCGGCTAAAACTTTCGGTTGGTTGGCTATACCCTCTGGTTATGTCAAAATAGCTATTAAAAATTGCCCAGTCGAAATAGCGAGTTTTCCCATTAAACATGATGATTTTCCATAGTTTTTTGTATGTTGACAGCACCCTGCTGAAACCATACCAGTCAGAGATATGGCTGGCAAATCCCCGAGCTCGATGATTTTCCCATACAGGATGGGGCCCCCAGTCAAGCTCGCGTTCAGTTGCCGTAGATATAACGAACTACTTTTCATTCTGGGCCCTGTTTCCTGTATAAATCCCCAGCTATACTGCTAGATCTTGTAGCTTGGGAATTGTACACCTTTGATTCCCGGATGGTATTGCTGAAGTTCCCAAAGCCACGGCTTTCATCGTTGCCGATCTCAGAGGATCATTCAGGATCATCCCAGTTTTTTGCAGGTGAAAAACACCCTGGTGATCGGAACCCCCACTTTTCGTTTGAGAAAACAATGGTTTTCCCATAAAGCAAATGCACCAAATGGATTACAACTATGGCAGTACTACTAACCGTTACTAACCACTTGACTTACCCTTTGGTAAATTGACATATATATATATATATATACATATGTCTATAATAATTATCATTGTGCCAGGAGAGAGGGCTTAGGAATTTCACACGGTCGAGCGCAGCCGACTACAGCCGACCGGCCAAGCACAGCCGAGCACAGCCGACTACAGCCGACTACGCTCGGCTGCCGAGCACAGCCGAGCACAGCCGACTACATCCGACTACAGCCGACCATAGCCAAGCACAGCTGAGTACAGCCGAATACAGCAGAGTATACAGCCGAGTACGGCAGAGTACAGACGAGCACAGCCGAGCACAGCCGATCACAGCCAACTACTGAGACCACTAATTTTAGATATTTTCGCTTCAGGGTCAATTGGATCAGGCCATTTCAACTGCCAAAAGTCAGGCTTAGACTTCGGAGCAAGGAGTTGATGGCATGCGGTTGTTGCAGCAACAAAGTTGTTGGAGTCAGGAAGTCAGGAAGAAAGACAACTAATTTCTGCTGCACTCGAAGCTGGGATGGACGGTGAAGCTCGCCATGTGAGCACTTGCAACAAGGTGGTCTACCAGGATTACACAGCTGTGGCACACTACTTGACGCAAGAACAGTGGAGGTTTTTCTTGAAAGAAACTGAGTGTGATGAGAACAAAGCGATGCGAATAGGCGAGGTGATGTCGCTGCTTGGTTGTCAAGTGGCCGGTCCTTTGTGACTGCGTTGCTCTACAGTTTGCCAGGTTGCAAGTTTGCGCAGAATGGGCCGCAGGACTTGCACAACTCCTACATCTTTACGAAAAAGTATGGCCGACACGTGATGGCTGCAGCTCCATCCATGGTTATGGATGTGCCAATCATAGAGCGTTTGCCGCTGCGATGGCAAGAGCATGAGCCACGATTGCTTGCAGAAGCTCTCGGTGCCGAAAGACCAATTCCCGTGCCACCGCAGTGAATCTTACCGCTGTTGCTGCGCTGGCGCGGTCGATCCCATGCTGTACATCTAGGAATGGCTTCAAGAAGTACAAGGTGCAAAGCAGCAATCCTTTGGCCATGCAGCAATCGATGCAGTCTGTCATGCCTACGTGGTCTATTCAGAAAACGAGATGGAACTCTTAAAGCATCTTGTTGGGGAAACTTCGGCATCGACTCCCATGGGTTGCAAAATCTTCGAATTTGTCCAACGACCGCAGGGCAGCATCTTGGCTTTCTCTATTTATACGTGCTCTTGCTTTATCGATGAATAGCATCTTTCATCGACGTGTGTTTCCATGTTTTTTTGATGCTGTGATATCTGTCGGTTGCAATAGAACATGTCAATTTGCAAGGCGATCTGATGGGTCTCTGGATCGATTGTTGGCTTTGACGTCTTCCATAGCTTCGTCTCCAGAAGCAAGTGCTTTGTCCCAGCAGCCGACTGTGAGCGGCGCTACTATATGGTATAGCCGCACATGCCGAATGGCCAAGCAGCACTGGAGGATGGAAAGGCAAACAGAAATTTGCCGATGCCGATGCCTGTTGAGGAAGCAGCTCCGCCAGTGCCAGTCGTACCAGTGACCACGGTGCCAACACGGGTTCCAGAACCGACCGCTGAATCGGTGGATGCTGTTGCATTGGTGACTGTGTTGGACGCAGAGCTTGATGCAGCGAAGTCTGAAGACACAGCGCCTACAGGTACGAAAGCATTGAAGGCTGCAGACAAAGTGTCTGCGTCCAAGACATCCAAGGTTAAGAAGGCTGCTCCAAAGAAAACGCCTCAAAAGGCGAAGAGAGTTACGATGGCAAAGCCAAGCAAGAGCAAGGGTGCCAAGGAAGTTCAAAAAGCCACGGTGTCAGCGAATAAAGCTGCGCGAGACAAGAAACATCACCAAGATCTTCTTTCGCTTGGTGTTCCGCCGCGCTTGCTCTCGAAAGGAGCCAATATGGATGCGCCAAGTGCCGTCATCGTCGCTGGTGCACGCGTAGCTGCTGGGTTGGCCGTGGCGTCTTGTAGTTCTTTGCAGAACGGAGGGCAGCCGAGCGGAACCGAGCACGGCCAAAGGCGGCAAATTGCGCTGCCGAGCATAGCCATGTATAATCATTTTGCTTGAGCTGTTTTCTTCCTCACTTGCGCTCTCACTTGCACTGTGTGCTGCGCTTCAAAAATAAACCATATGCACTTCCACTCCTTGTTGCTGAGCAGCCACCTTTCAAAATATGTCACTTGCACTTGCGCCGCGTACTTGGTTCTACGGTTCCACACCTTTTACCTGCCTTTGTTGCTAGGCCTCAACATCTTTCACTTTCACCCTGCCACAAGCCTTTCGCCTGCACATACTTGATTCCCCGGTTCAGCTTCTTTCACTTGTATTAGATGCTTCGCGTGCAAATGCTACTTGCATTTTTGCACCCGGGGTGCGGTTCAACATCTTGCACTTCCACTGTCGCACGCATTGTTAGCTCAGCCTGTCAACTTCTTTCATGTGCACACTTGATGCTGCTCTTCTACTTCTTTTACTCGCACCTTTCCTTGTTTTTGCTGATGGCTAGGTTTCAACTTCTTTCGCATGCGCTTGGTGATTCACACAGACATGCACTTGCACAGTCAATGTTTGATTCTACGCTGTCACAAGTCAGAAGTCAACCGGAGTCAGTCGCGCAGCCGTAGTCAATCTCCCTCCCTCCCGGCACCCTGATAATTATCCATGTATATAATAATATAACATAATTACATGTATGAAAACTTACCAGTTTTAATTGGTATAATCGCACTAAATGTGCTATGGTTTCCACAACAAATCTATGGATCGCCCTAAGGCGGTCAATGGATCGTCGCCCCGGCTTTGCCTTATTTTGCCATGGCGAAAGGCCGGCATGCCATGGGAATGCATGGATCCTTGCCAGCTCTCCTGGCGAATGGTGTGTGTGTGTGTCGGTGACCATTGATGTTCCAAAAAGCATGCTTTTTGAACTATGAAGATAAATGCAGGATGGGGCCCCCCGGTTATAAGTTGGTTTATAAACAATTATAATCCCCATTAACTAGTTCGTTAAATCTACCATAAACCATAAAATTCAGCCACTTATAAGGCAATTTAACTATCTTGGGGGCCCCATCCTGTAGATCAGGGCTCTGAAACCAGCTACTTTCAACACGACACTCTCTGTTCATCACGATTGTTTTTGTTTCCATCCACAGTCTTACCTGTGATTGCTACTGGTGTGCATTATATCTGTCTTGTCAGATATTGTCAGATGATGTTGAAAACATTGCTACCATATGCTACCATACAAGCAATGCAGTCATTCGCATTGACCTTCGCAAAGCAGGGTTGTTCCAACCTAATATAGGCAAATGATAGCCACTCGTAAGGGTAAATTGGTAATTTGACCTTTATTTTTGCCCCAATCTACCGCCCAGAAGTATCTGAGGTGTGGTTAGGAGCAACCCGGTGAAAGTCAGATGTCACAATTGGAACCAATTGTATTCCCATTATATACCCATCATATCCTCATATTACGATGATTACATTTTAATATATGGAGGGCGCGAGCACCAGATCCGATGAAGAAGTGGTGTAAAAGATATGATTTGTTGATGTTTGTTGATTCTTTTCCCCCCATGTTACAAATGTTTAAAAGTGGAATCAGGTCCGTATATAAAATTATGATAGTATATAGTTATATAGTTCCCTATGGATCCAAGTACCTTCTTAGCAAGCGTTTGGGATATGATTTAGGGGGTTAAGTACCTTCTCAGACAGTCTTTGGATCCATAGGGGTTAATATCATGTATTATATCTACTTCCCGTTGTTTAGCTGTTGGGCGGGCCCGTCAGCAACCCCAGGGAGCTAGTCTAACTTTTGTGTTTTATCAATTAAAAAGAGTCCACGTGTTTGAATGTGGGTGCCGTAATGTGCCGTATCATTGTATCCTCTAAGTATATACATCAATTATAAGCCAGATACTGTGTTGGTTAAACAGGTATACACTCCATCATATCCCAATCAGATCCTATAACGTATTTAGACCACTAAGTAAGTGATCATTTAAAACATCATCCCCCACCGCAGGATGTCATGCCTTTCACTACGCCATGATCTCCTCTGCATATGCTGCGAGTCAGATGATCAGTTCACCCATCTTGGGCTTCATGGCAGTGGAAGGCTGGAGGATTTCTGAACATTGTGTGTTTGCATCAAAAATGGTATCAATGAACTGGTGATGCATAGCTTAATAATTAATATGCTTCAATAGTAGTTTGATTCAGAAACTATATGGCTATGTGGATGGAATTGCCACAAAGTCGGGACGGAAAGCTGATATGACTGGGTGAAACGGTCAACGAAGTGCAAAATGTTGTCAATACGGGTTTGATTAAGAACAACATGGGGTTTTAACCATCAGAAACAAAGAAATATCAATAATGTCAACCCTGGATTAATAAACCCCTAGGCTGTTTAACTGGGAAGGTACCATTTAAGTATCAAATCATGACTATTGGTGGAATACCACCCTAATTAATAATCCATGGTTTATCAATCCGGTAAACAAACATAGCTATTGAAAATTGCCCATTTATAGTGGATTTACCAATTAAAAATAGTGATTTTCCATAGTTTTGGTAGTTTACCAGATGAGAGTTGACATTAAATGGTAATAATAATAACTTGGGGGAAGTGATGGAAATATTTTGGTCAACCTTAGATGGATTCGTGCCATGGAGGTGGGAAAGGTTGCCGGATCTCACATCATGGCGTTGCTGGATGGTTCGTAAGGGTCGGTATCCACTTTCAGCTTAATGAATTAGAATTTGTAATGGCTATTGAACGGGATATCTAACTAACTACACTAATTCAGACACATTGATTTGAACTTTTGGCTGTTGAAGTGTCCTGCCGTTTGTCACTGCAGACCTTCAATTGTGGGTGACGCTAGCGTGAAAATGAAGGATCGCTCAAAATCACAAATTTCATGGAGACAATGATGTGATGCAGTTATGGCCCTTTACCAGTTATACAGTAAGTACTAACAAAACCCCATTGATAGAATGTACAATCCCATAGAAATAACCAGTTATTACTAGCCATGGCCATAACTGTGATAAGCCATGGAATTTGGGTTCCCAGGCGCGGACACTCTGAGGGTTTCCTAAAATGGAGGATCCCCAAAATGTATGGTTTATAATGGAACATCCTACTAAAATGGATAATTTTGGGGTACCCCTATTTTAGGAAATCTCCATGTATATATATATATATATTTATTTAGTTTATATATATATATATGATATAACCCAATAAACATTAACTAATCTTCACATATCTTTTTTCATCGTGAACTAAATTAATTTAATGAGAATCCATCGGATATCCATCCCTTATTCGTACTTGTTATTTACTGATGATACACATGTTTCATTACAATATTCACTATGTTTCACTATAATCTTTTTGAAACCAATCATTAGCTAATCTTCACATATCTTAGACATATTTTCCTCCATGAGACCATCCATGGTTTATTCATAATTGTTTATTACTCATTTCTCGTTCATTCATCATTTATCCATCTGGTATTCAATTCATATTTGCATATGTTCACTATGTAATTTCAATGCAACCATCCATGGTTTAAAAAAAGCCGAGGCATGTTATCTGAACGCATTGGTCGAAGACCGATCCTCCTGGGTGGCCTCGCGACCACTTCGGTGGTGCACCTTGGACCTATGAAACGTGGCCGGAGCCAGGAATTCCTGGGAAAAATGTGGTGATTTAAGCAACAAACATGAGGACTTAATGGGATGGATACGTATTTAGTATATAGTAGATTAATGGATCTGAATGGGATGGATGATTCTGATGTTTGTTTTTTTTGTATAGTGATACATACATATAGATTTATGTGGGATTTATATGGATTGATAGCTGATTCATCTTAGCTAAGTGTCAAATATGGGGAAATCACCAAGCCGAATAAGGTATCCATGGTATCGACGTAGGCTCCAAGAACTGTTGCGTTTATAGTACAAGGTGAGCCCACCTAGTACCCTACAATGTGCGGCCCCCAAACGATAGCTAAGTTGGCGAACATAACTTCAATAACTATGGTTTATGATAGCTATAACTATAGTCAATGGGATTGTTTAACCAACTTATACCTGGGGGGCCTCACATTGTAGATAGCTAAGTTGATGCACATAACTTGGGAACTGTTGGGTTTATGGGGGATATAACGAGCTAGTTAATGAGGGTTATAAATATCATATTTTTAACGGTTATAACCAGCAAACATATCGCTGGAGCTCACCAGCAACCCGAGGGAAATCATGGAGATCTAATGGAAACCTGATACAACGTAACCGTTTGTAACCCGTGAGGGTAATCATCCTCATCATCATCATCATCATCATCATCATCGTCATTATGTCGTCATCACCATCATCATCAACATCATCATCAACATCAACATCAACATCATCATCATCATCATCATACTACTTTCGCGTTCAACAGCCCCGTGAATCGGACGATCAAATCGTTGACAGGTACCTGTTGATGGCTAACGTCACCACTGTTTTCCAGTCGCCTGGGCTGAAAATTGGACGGATCCAGTGTCATCATGGCTCCACTATAAACTATTGGAATTTCATAGAAACATAATTGGAAAATCTGGGAAGTCCCCTATTGATGGAAGTTGATAGCTGGCAAAATTCACTATAAATGGAGGTTTAATGAGAAAATCATCTATATAAATGGTGGATTTTCGAGCAAACCATATTTGATTCCCGGAGGGTGTACCCCCAAAATTCAATTTTAGTAGGAAATACTGATGATTAATCGGTGGATTTACCAATTGGTTATTTAACGTAGCTATGGAAAAATACCATGTCTAATATCTAAATTAACAAGTATCATCATGAGTGACTGGGCCATGGCTTCCATAGCTACGTGAAATAACCAGCGGCTAGGATCAATTGCCAACTTTTCAGACAAACCCATCTGTTGGGCGTCGACGTGGACTGTGTTGACAGTTGCCCTTCCGAAATGTTTGTAGTTTTGCTGGCGGTTCAGTATCATATTGATGCCGGTGCGTTCCAAATCTTCTGGTTGGTGTCCAATATGTGATTATGATGACTATCCCTACTGTTGTATTTTTGGGATGGGTTGAAACCACCAACCAGCACGGTGTACCCTGATTTTCCCCGTATCAACATAGCAATCTTCTGGGTATTCCCCATCTTCACACGCCCATGTATAAGGATAGCAACCCCGAAACAGATAGAACAAGTAGGACACCTGGGAATATGAAGTAAATATAATCTATAGATAGCACGCGTTTCTTTTTTGGTTGTCATATATAATAATTCTTCAGTTACTGTAGGGCTCTCTCGTTTCGATGAGGTACGACAAGCAGAATTAGAAGGACAAGCCAATACCCTCCAACGAGGGGTCCAACAATAAATAGATCCATTATGGTCCAGTACTGAACCCGGATTCGTAGGGTGTATTTAATATTAAGGGGAAAGGATTAATCATGATCTTGGCCGGAGGAAAATTATTCAATTTAGTCAGATTTCACGAGTAGATGTGCATTCCATGAGTACAGAAAAACGTACTTGTAAGTAATGATCTAAATCTAAATACAATATGTTCCACTTATATCCCCATTACGTGCCCAATAAGAAAACATGTTCGCTGCAACCCTGACGCTGCGCCGCGTGTGACTTCAGGTGGCTATGAAGATAAACTTGATGTTATTACCCCAATCAACATATTGTTCATAGGGGGTGTCGAATTTTGATCCCTTATGAAGATAAAGTTGATGTTACTACCCCAAACAACATACTGTTCATAGGGGGTGGCGAATTTTGATCCCTTATGAAGATAAAGTTGATGTTATTACCCCAATGAACATATTGTTCATAGGGGGTGGCGAATTTTGATCCCTTATGGATATAAAGTTGATGTTTTTACCCCAATCAACATATTGCTCATAGGGGGTGGCGAATTTTGATCCCTCATGAAGATAATGTTGATGTTATTACCTCAGTCAACATATTGTTCATAGGAGGTGGCGAATTTTAATCCCTCATGACGGTATAGTTGATGTTTTTACCCCAATCAATAATTGTTCATAGGGGGTGGCAATGTTGATCCCTTATGAAGATAAAGTTGATGTTACTACCCCCAATCAACAAATTGTTCATAGGGGGTGACGAATTGTAATCCCTCATGGAGATATAGTTGATGTTACTACCGCAATCAACATATTGTGCAGAGGGGGTGGCGAATTTTAATGTGATGATGATCACGATGTGATGATGTGATGATGTGATTGTGATGATGATGATCATAATGATGATGGTTTTGATGATGATGATGATGATGATGATGATCATGAGTTGTTCATGGTCACGATGATTGTAAGATATTGTAAGTGTGGAGCAACATCCGGGTTGGGGCGAACATAAATTGTTCAATTTAGAACAATGTAACTACGTAGATACATCTATATGTGATGTGCTGATTATCTCGCCAAAATGTATAATTTTGGTTTCTGGTAGATACACAAAACTAGTTCATAGCAGATTATACACCAACAAACTCAACTACACATATTTAGTCAGATAGTCAAGCTATCCATTATTGTTCCATCATATTCCCATTGTATATCTATGATACAAACAAATTCTCATTAATACATCCATATTCTCATCAGATCCTCATTATATATTCTCTTTTTATATTCTCATTATATTCTCATATATGGTTCCATCCCATTTTATGCTGTTGTTTAAAAAAGAAAAAGTAAAAAAACAACATTTTTCTTGTACCACCAGCTGCCCGGTGTCCCAAAAAGGCTGCTGTTGGCCCGCGCCACGCTGGGGTTCCTCAGCGGCGCCGCGGCGGTGGAAGTGGCCTTTGTCGCGGACTTGACGTCGAAGACGGATAGAGTGGACTGGGTGAACATGCAAACCAGCCACTTAGTGCGCAAAAAATGGGGAACGGATAGAAGGAAAGATGATGCCAGCCACTTGGCGCAGTGGAATATATGTGTATGATATAATTATACAGAATTATTTAATATATTATATAATCAATATTTGTATTATATATTTATATATGTGTATTATAGACATATATGTCATGTATTATAAACATATAATCATATGTATTGAATATGGGGATCTTGATTTGCAAACCAACCACATGACGCATGGATTGGGAATACTATGGAAATATCATGGGGATACAATGCTGATATAATGGGGATATGATTGGAATGTGGTATTTGATGGTTTATATATATATATACATATTATATACAGTTATTAGTATACATATACAAGATAATATAATATACACATACCAGCCACCTGCCGCAAGGTCGCAACCAACAATGTGATTTGTTATGTTTTTTTTTGTAAGCAACATGTTTTAATGGAACATATATAAATCATGGATACTGTATAAATACACATACATCAGCCACCTGGCGCAGACTTGAGCATGGCATGTATATGTATACGTATATATATATATATACACATACACACACATACACACACATACATACATACATACATACATACATACATACATACATACACACACACATACATACATACATACATACATACATACATACATACATACATACATACATACATACATACATACATACATAACCAACAACAATGGCGATTTCATAGATGTTTGTTTTTGGGAAAATAATGATCATGATCAACCATCAAATCGATACAACGGGATTTAGTGATATATTTTATATAGTATAGATACCTACATAAACACCATGATGGTTAGGATTGGGGAAATCATCCCAAATGGCCTTATTTCAGCTGGGCAAGACCTTACAATGACCTCTATGCCAAACATTGTTGCATTATCAGGGTTGTTCGATGGCCATGTCAATCAGTGTTACCTCTATATCTAGCCATTCCACCCATTGTATTTGGGATGTTGGGTGCAAACTTGATTATTGTCACTTGCTACGTTGTACAGTGTCAAACCCCAGCTATGCTACATTATGTGTACTTGGCACGATGGGTCAAGATTGAGGCCCCCGCACGAGAGACACTTTTCAGAGTCTGTGTGTTAAAAGAACTGAACACTGCTTGGGGCATGGTACATTTGGGGGTGTTCCTATACTCCGGGTAGCGCCAAATCATCCAAATTAGATCATTTTAGTATTGAAACCCTTGGTTTTGGGGGATCCTTTCAAGAAACCCCAATTTGTAAAAAAACTATAGGTACGAGAGTGATTGATGTCATTGATGTGGCTGTATATTTATCTAAATCCAAGAATGGTGCTAAGTATGGTTTCTGGAAGAAGCTTACGGTATGGGTACGGTGATGGGGTACCATCACTTGGTACATAGGTACACTATGGGTACGCCTGTGTGGTACAGGGGTACGGTACGGGGGGTACGGTCCTATTGTACGGAGGTACGGTCCTATGGTATGAGGGTACGGTACGGAACGGTCATATGGTACGACCGTACCCATACGCCCGTACGAAAAAAAAAACACAACCAATTTGGAGAAAAAAACAACCAATTCTATAGATTGTGTTGTGTTTTTTTTGAATTTGGTTGTGTTTTTTTTTGGTACGCTCCTAGTTTTGTAGTGTACCATGTGTACCTTGTGTCTTGTACCACCCGGACCCTTGAACCTGTACCATGTGTACCATCATACAGTACCACCGTACCGTACCACCGTGCCGTACCCTAAGTACCATGTTCTGAAGGTGCCTCCAGTGCACCACTCTTGAGTTTTGATAACTGTAAATCCACTTTGAACTAACAAGTAAACAGACAAAAAAACACAGATAATCTACAGACAGCGACTCGTGACTGCATTGCGGAGTTGTGTCATTGCTAGGGAACGTAAGCATAGTAAGTCCCTGGCGTAGAGCAATCCTTTTGCATTGAATTATACAATGTGGCCCCCCCAGCTACAAGTTGGTTTTGATATAAGCCCATCTAACTATAGTTCTAATTGCCATAAACCCCAGTTATCCTAATTATGATTACCAACTTAGCTATCAACGATGTCGCTAAAAAGAAACCCATGTGGCCCATCATTGATCGCCCAGAGTTGGCCCCATCTGCACCGTTTTGTCCAGTTTTTGTTTCTTTTGGTGACAAACCAAATGATGTTATCCAGATCAACTCCGTTCCGAAATGACTCCCTATTGATATTTGGTGTTTTGGTCCACCAAAAACTCACCTTTGACCCATGGGATTTGTGAAAAAACCGAAGCTTCAAGTCCCACGAGTTCGGCGTTCGAGGACTCCAATCTGCTGGGTGTTTGTTGGGTCCAGCCATCGGCGGAATGGTGGCACCATACTCCAGAGCTGACAATGACGCGCCTTGCCGAGAAAAAGGAAGCCTGAACGATCAAACTCCACCTGTAAAAAAGGGAGAGGTGGGGGGCCGCCGTTTATTGATAGCCAACTTAGTTTGTGTATATATATATATATAAATATGTGTATAATATATATATATATATATAAACTAGGATGAGTGGAGTTTATAGCGGTTATAACAAGATATAACCAAAATGTGGGATGGGTTTACACACCAATCATTGGGGGGAAGCACCGTAGGAAGTGCTTGGATCAGCGTTAGTGATTATTGGGGGATTGCAAGTACTACGCAATATATTGGGGATGATAGATTCACCAATATTCACCATAAACCCTAGGTATTGGATGTTAAAGTCAGTTGTAAACCAACATTACCATCTGGTTATTTGTTACATAGCCATGGTATAGATGGTCCATAGAAATAGATGGTTTACCTATTAATAGCATGGTGATTTTCCATGGCAAACTGTTAAATAACCAGATGGTATTGGGGATGATCACAATTCATAAAGGCTCCTTTATGGGTTCTGATCATCCCCAATATAGCTGGTATATACAATCCTTTCTATTGGGGATTATACTACCTGAAAATCCGTTCTGAACCAGCCAGTACAAAAGGAACACCATTTCGGGTTTTGAACACTGTTCAGGTGTATGTGGAGGTTTCCCCGAATTCGGTTAGCCCCAAATGATCCAAAATTAGATCATTTTAATATTAAAATTATTAAAACCTATGGTTTTGGTGGGATCCTCCACTTTAAGAAACCCCATATGACATGTAATTGGTGTAAATGGTCTGCAAAATAGTCATTATCCACCTAGCAACTGGGATGCACATCCAAGTGGATAGCAGAATTTGAATTTTCCACTGCGCAGCTTTGTGTAGGTGATACATGACTGGCATGACAAATACAGATGATAAAAGATATGGGGATCTATGGGCATGGGTTTAGAGCCAGTGTTACCATATTTTTCTGGGGGAATAAGCATCCATAAATCCCGGCGATTTCAAGGTACCCAGGGAAGTGAGAGTTTTGACCCATAACCATATTGTCAGAATATTGCATGTACCCTCTGACCATTTAACATAGCCATGGAAAATCACAATTTTTAATAGGTAAACCATCTATAAATGGGCCATTTTCCATGGCTTTGTTAAATAACCAGAGGGTAGAATTGAATTTGGCGAGATGAAAAATTGGGGGCCACCATGGGCCATCACCGACTGTCCTCTGCATATTCTTTGCACAGGCTACTACGGCTACTAATGCGAATTCCTTTGAACAGACAAATTCGTTGCCCTTCTCTACCTGTTTGCAAAGGTTTGTAAGTTTGTTTGTTTTCAAATATGGTTGATTGGTCCCGACTTGACAGAAAATTTGATACACATGGAACGTCTAGAGATTCGGTCAAATCGAACTCAAATCTCAAACTGAAGAGTCTTCATGTGACATTCACTGTGTCACTAACTATGCCTTAGTACGTATATGGCCATGATATGCCAAAATTTTCCAGAGCTTCATGGCCATATCCCAGGTTCTGATGGGGGTGACTCCATGGTAATGCCAGACTTCAGCACCATGGTGCCCAAGATTATTCCATTACCAAACAGTATCTGATTAAATGTTGGTTAAATGTTGGTTGATGATTAAACAGTATCTGATAAAACCATCCATTAAATATATGAGAAATCCATTTGTGTTTGATGGTAGCATTTGTCTAATTGTCTATTGTTGCTTCCATGTTTGTTGCTTCCTTCCATAGCTACATCTCTGTACAACCAGGGCAAATCCTACATCTCTTTTTTCAGCAAGGGCAAATCAACTCTTCCCAGGCCACGATGAGATTTGAATTTGAGCACCTTTGCTATGCGATTTCCATCCTGGTGATGTTGAACTTTCTCATAGGCCGCACGGCGTTCTGAGTTCCACGGAGTTCCGCTAAAAAAAATTGTGCGCCGATGTGCAAAATGAAGACATAATACAGTTACGGCCCGAGTTATACCAGTTATAAGTACTAACAAAACCCCATTTATAGAATGTATAATCAATATAATGCCATTGAAATAACCAGTTATAACTAATAAATGGCCATAACTGTAGAACACCATTCATTACAAAACAGGAGTCAATCAGAGTCAATCATTCAATTTGGCTGACGTCACATTTGATTGATGGTTAGATGGCGGGGAATCAACCCCAAATGGCATCAAATGGCCGTATGTTAAGAGCTATTCTCAGATTTCTCAGGCTGCTGAAGTCTTTTGATTCAACCAGATTCAATCCTGATGAAAAAGTTAGCATTCCCATCAGGATCCCAACTGGATAACTGGTTGGTGGTTTGGAACCATGGAATTTCATGAGTTTTCCCATCACATTGAGAATGTCATAATCCCAACTGACGAGTTGTCCATCATTTTTCAGAGGGGTAGGTTATGGTAGGTTGCAACCACCAGCCAGATTCCCATGATATTCCCACTATATCCCGTTATATTCCGATATATTCCCATTAAAGGTCCCTAGGTATACTCCCTGTTAAGACCTTATACACACCAACCAGCCATGATCTGCAATCTAGAAGATCTGGGAAATGCCACAATTCAGCTGCGTGGCCTTTTTGGGGGGACTGCGGTGAAGTTGTGTCTGTTGAACTATAATTACCATCTGGTTATGACTAACATAGCCATGGAAACTCACCATTTTAAATAGGTAAACAACCATCTATAAATGGGCCATTTTCCGTGGCTATGTTAAATAACCAGAGGGTATACCGAATTAGTGGTCCGGTCGTTTTGCTTTTTTTGAGTCCCAAAGCCATCGAATCCACAGTGTCCTGTGGCTTTGAGTCAGCTTGAAACATCTTGGAACTGTGGGAGTCACAGTTTTCCAGGTGATGACTCAGGTCGTTCAGTTGCTTGAGACAACTCCAATGACTACGGTTTATATATAATATATTAATATATATATATACCAGACGATTCCTTGTGACCTTGTTTGTGTTTTCTGCTAAGTGGCCTTTAGAAAGAGGTCAGTTAAGGAAAACGTAGAAAGAGGTCACTTAAGGAAACGAACCAAACAGTGGCCTACCAGTGACACGCAAGTGACACGCAAGTGACACGCAGTGACACGCAGAAATCATGAGATCAGCCAGGCAAAGAGGTCACTTAAGGATTCATGAAACGAGGTCACTTATGCATGATTGATCTTGTAAGTGACCGTTTGGCACTTTGGGTCTAAGTGGCTTCCATTAGAGGGCAGAAGTAACTGCCTGGTATATATATATATATATATATCCCTCCAGGTCAATGACCTCGTAAAACTTGGCCTTCTAACTTTGATGATTAGGACCTACTATTACTTGATAGGGACCAACCTTATCGGTCCGCAGACTCCGCAGACTCCGCAGGCATCAGGTTCTTCACTTGCCCGCCATCCATCCACAAGGCCCCGGGCCCCCACGGCCCAGCCGTTTTTCACGTGGGAGCGGTTCAGTTGGAGCTATTTTTGTGATTGAATTCTATGGTTTATGGTAGATATAACGAACTAGTTAATGGGGATTATCATGGTTTACCTCCAATTTCACTATGGTTTTTGTTGGTGATATATCTATAGTATTCATGGGGTTTATAAACCAACAAATATAACGTTTGGGGGTGGCACCACCTTGTATGGTTGTAATGCTATGGTTGGATCTATGGTTGTAAAACATCCAGAATCCTTTCCAACGTTGGTCCTAGTCATCGCAAATGGGGCAGTTGGAGCCATTTGGACATGGGGTCATGTTTCTTTTTCAGAGCGTCTCTCGGGGCTAGATTTTTGTTCAAATTGTTTAAAGAATAGGATCAGAATCAATCTATTTTTATGACACCCATTTCTGACCCATGGCCGATTAAATATCAATTTGTCGGAATTGGAATTGACATGAACATGTGAAATTTAGAAGCAGATTGATATTATGTATGTAGATTCCAATTGGAATTGAAAATTGGTTCCACATCATATCATTTGCTTAGAAATGTCATGATTCCGTTCGGGATCTGTCATTGGTGGATGTAAATCATCGTGCGTAAAGAAGTTTCAGAGGATCTTGAATGCCTTTTGTATGGTTTGATGATGATAGTATCAGCAGTAATTTGTTATTGCAGGAATTACTTAAATGAACAATATGTTTTTTTGATCTTAACATATATGAACATCAACAAACCATTAAAGATGATCTGACATCACACATGTAACATGTAACTGGGCTCACACAACCCAGGCTTCACCGTGGGGTAAGAGGCTCCTGGGCTATTGATTTTGTGAGTACCATGTTAAAGATGAGATCGCTACAGGATGGGCCCCCCAGTGATGTTTGTTGGTTTATAGACCATGATAATCCTCATTAGCTAGTTCGTTATATCTACCATAAACCATAGAATTCAACCACAAAAATAAGGCAACTGAACGCTATCGACTGGGGGCCCCATCCTGTATCTAGTTTTGTTGTAGGAACCTCCCAGCCGCCTTTTCTTCTCGAATCGAATTGTAAACATGACCTTCAACATTGTCCAAGAGGGGACGGAACGTTCAAGAAACCCATCGAATCCCCATCGTTTGATTGAAAAATCAGCCGAATGGATCCATGGCTGTCTGAGAAGGTGCGGCTAAGCCTCTAAATCATACCCCAAATATTTCCTAAGGTACGGCTGGATCCATAGCGATCGATGGTTTCCTGTATATGTTCCCTTCAAGCGATCCATAGAACCAGCGACAGCGAAGAATCTTCGGAGAGTTTTTGTTTTGAGGCCGTTGCTATGCCGCAGAGTCCTCAATCAGATCGACCAAAACGATTCGTGAGTTTCTTTGGCACTGGAAGTGTGAAACCGATGTGGGATGAAATTTGGGGAGTTGGGGGGATCAACTACTGACACACATGGCCCAATGGCTCTGTCTGAACATGGGGTATACCCTCCAACTGGCCATTTTGATGCAGACAATTATGATTAACCACTGGATTTGGGGATACCCTATATTCAGACAAACCCACATCAGTTTTTAGTTTCAGCACCACAATATCTTGGGATAATGTTGATCCCCATGTATGTAAGACTTGTTGGTACTTTCATATAGAATAGTACATGTGTTTTCTTGGCATAGGCATACAGAGAGATCATCACGTACCAAGCAGAAAAAAAAACACCACCTGGGGCTGATTCTTCACATAGGTATAGGTCAAAATCAAAAGCACTTTGGTCCTCGTATGTCCTCCTATGTCATCGTATTGACTATCCTATTTTCGACCCATACCTACGTGCAGCAAGCTGTCACAACTTTGCCTCTCCAGAAGAGCTCGTTTTGAGATGTTTACCCTGTCACCATGCGTGTTCAACACCTTAGTGTGATATTAAGGGATACTATGTGTGATCTAGCCAACAAAATGGTGGCAACATCGGGATACAATGGAATGGAATTGGATACAATGGGATGTAATGAAATTTGTCAAGATTTATGTATCTGTATTTGTATCTCCCTCTGGGAGCCATTGTTTGTTTCACGTGTCTTCTATAGCCGAGAGCAGCAATGCCGTTCCCCTGTCAGAAATAACCCTTGGCATAAACCCCCATATTTGGGACCCCAAAATGAAGAGATCCAATACACCATTTTTTCCGGGGTACTGTATGTAATGTGCTTAAACAATGTCATTTTTTCCACCCATTTTCCTGGGAATGGTAAGTTTCTACCACCTATATATTTATGGTGAAGACTGGGGGATGGTAAACATGGCATTGTTTTAACCACGTTAGTGGTTTTTAAGGGATGGGATCTGTGCAATTGGGATGGAATGGATGCACCATTGCTGTATCGATTTTCTAAACGACCACCACATAGGGCATAGTGCATTCAAATTTTGAGGATCATAGAGTGACACAACATCTTGGTGATGTTAAATCGTCATCCAACAGATATTGTGATTGAATAACCATTGAAACATGACATTTGGTGATGTAGTTAAATATCTTGACGATCATCCTGTGGTTAAAAGAGATACCGATCGGTTTGTGGCTCCAACAGTGTTTTACAATATTGTTTAATCACAGGATGATCCGCGGATAATGTTCTTTAGGCTGATTTTCTGATGGGCCCGGAGGTTCTTACTTTCTGAAGCAGTCCACCATGATCCTCCTCCTGGTTTGCTTTTTAGAAGCTTGGATGCGTTCAGATGGCGAATTTCCTAGATAAAAGGATGAACACAACTCAAAATCCAAAAACGTGCCCAGGTATATAGGTATATCCACCAGGAATAGAATTTCCAATGATTTCCCGATATTTTCAGTCTTTATGAACACCACCTAATGATGGTGAGTTGAAACTTCAAAGACTTTCATGGCGTCAGACCGTATCAATGTACACGCGGTCAGAAGCGCTGATTGTTATGATTATGTCTTACTGTAGTCAGTATTTTTGTTTGCTATTGTTATTGACATTTTCAATGGCATTGTGTATATTGCCACCATGTATCTCATCAGGTGGGAAGTCAGAGAATACCCTGCATTCATTGCACACTCCTAGGGGTTTCCATAGTCATTGGGGTACCCCAAAATAGATTGTTTATAATGGAAAATCGCATTAAAATGGATGATTTGGGGATACCCCCATTTCAGGAAACCTCCTATATGATCGTTGAGGCATATCATACTGGGCATATTCATGTTTTGGTGCGCGAAACGTCGGTTCTGTTTTGTGGTTTCCGACATGTTTCTTTTCCACTCAATGATTTCATTTTTTCAAGAGGTGTTGAAAGGCTAACATCTCAATTTCTGTGATCAGCTAATTAAAAATGATGTTGGCGAATTAAAAGATGAGAATTAAAAGGTGATAAGATCACAGTCTTTCATGATCACACTGTGATTAGCAATTTAAAGGCTCATTTTCCATGAACATGTTTGTGATATACTGTGATTAGCTAAAACCATCGAAAATTTCGCTGAAGCTACCCGGCGGTAATGCTAGAAGGTGCCCACATGTGCCCACCAGTTCTACAGCCGCCATCAAGTCATACCATAAAACATCATAAAACACAACAGTTGCAGTATTGGAGGTATGTTCACCAACATAACTAACATCTTTCTATCATACCTCAACTAGATTAAAAAAAAACACCAATGTGGTGGGTCAAATCATGTTAAATCAGTTAAATCATCATAGTTCGCAGGGAAAATTTCCCAATTAACCCACAGTTATGGCAATTTATTAGTGAAATAACTGGTTATTTCTATCGGATTATACATTCTAGAAATGGGGTGATAATTTTGTTAGTACTTATAACTGGTAAAACTCGGGCCATAACTGCAGCATTTTTTCGACTAAGCGATTTGGCTCACTGAACCGAACAGCGCAGGATGCCTTTTCGCTCGCCTGGTGCCCAGTGCCGGCTTGGAGTGATGCAGTGCCGTCACGGTAAAATCATGGCAATTTGTGTGGCAAAAGATTGGAAGATTACCCTCTGGTAATTTAACATAGCTATTGAAAATGGCCATTTATAGTGAGTTTTCCCATTAAAAATGGTGATGTTCCATAGTTACGTTAGTTTACCAGAGGGTAGCATGATGTGTTCTTATGGATAGCTAACAATGGAAAACAATGGATAGCTAATCCTTTCTAGATGTGTTGATACTATAAATCCCATGGAAACATATGGAAACAAATCCTCCAATCTCATCCGAAAGCCTGGATCTATCGCCAGACCGGAGGGTACTCAAGTGACGACATGTTCCACTCGATTACATCAATCTGGGTAAATTATAACGACCTCACTGTTCTCCCTCACTGGAATCATGGTTAGGATTCGGGAAATCGGGAAATCATCCCCTTTTATGGCCGCAAGATTCAGGTTAGTGAAATATTATAATTTACCCAGATCAATGGAGGTTTTCCATCACAAACCAACTATTTTGGGTATTCCCATTACATCCATGGAATATCTCCATATCTTCAAGGTGCTGTTCCCCCACCAGGCAGTCAGTGACGGACCGGAAGCCTTCTTCCTGCATGACAAGTTTGGCTTTGCGGCAGCGCAGCAGGCCCGGTACCATCTGGTTATGACTAACATAGCCATGGAAAATCCATTATAAATGGAGGTTTCTAGCTGGGAAAATCATCTATAATTCACCATCATTCCAGTGACACAGTGAAGTCATTCTATTTTACAATGTGGCGCCCCCCCAGTGTAAGTTGGTTTAGATTCGCCCCAGTAACTATAGTTATTTGCGCACCATAAACCATAGTGAAATTGGAGTTATGTGCACCAACTTAGCTATCGAACGGGGGCCTCACATTGTATGATTCATATTGATTCATTGTAGATTATGTGTACCATCTGGTGATGACTAGCATAGCCATGGAAAATCCATTATAAATGGAGATTTCTAGCTGGGAAAATCATCTATAAATTGCCCATTTTCCATGGCTATGTTAAATAACCAGAGGGTATGTATGTTCATTGTTCAATTGTTCACTGTGTTTTTCCTTGTTTAACATATAGGTTAGGGGTTACGGTACCTTTTTTTTCCAAACTTGGGGAATAGAGTAATACCCCAGGAATAATGCAGGAATTATCTAAGGTTGGCCATTTGAGGTTCGTTCATACACCCCTCTACCCATATCACCATGTTGCCTAGGATTGCCCAGTAATGTAAAAAATCACCGATCCAAGTGTAGAAAATCACCATTAAAATATGCTAACCGAACCAAAAACAGTCAGCCTAGTGAGAAACCGACTTACCAATTTAGGTAGATCCCATGCTTTATCACCATTGTTTGTTGCTTCAAGTCCGCAAGTTTGCTCTTTGTCAAACATCTATCATGGCGGTGAAAAATACCCAGAATCTAGGGAGCCAAACTACATAATTATTGGATGTTGTCAATGATAATTTGTGATTGTAATCTACTAACATACATTATTGAATTTATCTAAAGTTTCACTGCCAGGTCAATGATTATCTACCAACATACAGCCAGGCATGGCACGTTTGGTTAATGGGTTATATAGTGTATATATATATGTCCTATAGCTTTTAAATCTCCAGTTGTGTGAGTTTAGTTGGTTTATAAGCACCATGAACGAAAAAGCTTCTTTTAAAGGTGGGCCCTCCGTTGGATAGCTAAGTTGGTAATTGGTAAACATAACTAGGATAACTGGGGTTTGTGGCAGTTATAACTATAGTTAGATGAGCGAAGCAAACCAACAAACATAACTAGGGGGCTTCACATTGTAATTAGTTACAATTGCCACAAAACCAAGGGGGCTCACAAACCCCCAGTTCTAAGTGTGTTTATAAACCCTGTTAACTATAGTTGTTTATATGTTACTATAGTCATGGTTTCCATAAAACCCAACCGTTGCCACAGTTACGGTATGTTATAACTGTAGCTAGATTGGCTTTTAAACCAACAAACATACCGGGGGCCTCACATTCTAGTTATAATTGCCACAGAACCAGGGGGCTCACAAATCCCCAGTTCTAAGTTTGTTTACAAACCCCATCAACTATATAGACATATCATATATCCATTCTAGACCCCACTTAACCAAAAGTTTTAAACCAACTTAGTTATCGTTCTTGGTTGGCCCTTTATTCCTCAACAGTTGTATGTACAATAGTACACTACAATTTGATTGAAATGAACTCCAACAGTTGCAACAGCTACTTTAGTTCTTACTATATGTATAACCATATCTTATAATTATATGTTATATTGTTATACATATAAGCAATAACTATTCTATGTTACTATCAGTTGATTTATAAGTGCCCAACGACAACAACAACAGCAGGCCACCTTTATGATGACCTGCTCGGCGTCGTCCTTGATCTGGGGCTCCCTGGCGCCATACGTCATCGGCCTTTGCCCAGCCAATGTGCCCAGCCAAGCGAGACGAAACGAAGGGAAAGTGGTGAGAAGTTGAGTATATGAATACTATATTTATAGTCTATAAAGTATATGAGTATATGAATACTATATGAATACTATATGAATACTATATATGAATATATGAAAGTTGGTGGTCTATTCTATAGTACTTATTAGCTATGGGGATGTGAATATGTTATCTATAGTGTAGTATATCTATAGTATATCTATAGTACTATCTATAGTATATCTTGTTTAGTTGGTTTATGTATATAAGTTGGTTATAAGACCTCTGATTATCTATCACTTATCACAAAAGCAAAGTGTAAGGTGTGCCTCCCAGTGAAAAGATGGTTGGTTTATAACGCCCTTAAACATATTGATGTTGTTAATCTACCATAAACATGGTACACCATAGTACAATTTGTAAACGACAATGGTAATAATTTGAGTACACCTTGTACTATTAATGTACATCATCATGAGCATATTAATGTACACCTTGTATTAATCTACCAGTAATAGATGATAATAATCTATCACAGAATTGGATGATGGGAACATGTACAGGAAACCCCAACCAATTTGATGGTAAAAACCATGGTTTCCGGTTCAGATTTTCCCTAAAACCAATCCATTGAATCTACCATAAACCATAGTACACCTTGTACTCAGACATGGCGGGCCGCTGGGAAATCTCCGAATTACATGACTTAACCAAGAAACATGGTGGTGCGATGGGAATGTGATGGGGATACAATGACTTCACTGTGTCACTGGAATGATGGTGAATGGTGGAAATATCGTGAAATATCCCCAAAGGGCTTTATTTCATCTATGTTCAGTTGAGTGAATTTTAGAATTCAGCAAGTAACCACGTTTACCCTATGGGAATTAAACATGGAAATGGGAAAATCATCGAACTACATAGGCGATTGTCCATAGCTACATGAAATTACCAGAGGGCAACTTTCAAGATGACTTTGGATCACGGCCATTTCGAAGATTACGTGCTAGATTTAAGATTGTGCTTGTTATTTCCTATTCCAGAAGTAATTAGTAAGCATGATATATGACATATCCAAGTGACTCTCTAAGATGGTTTGAACATACCGACATGGAGCATACCCCAAGTCCAACACCAAATGACTTGTGAATCCTTTCGTACAAGGTAGGGCGCCCCAGGTATGTTGTTTGGTCAATAAGATTGATTGTCTACAGAGTCCAAAAATAGATATATATCTACAATAAAGCCAACAGTGATTGGAGTATGTGTATCTGGTTGGTGGTTTCAAGCATGAAATTATTGTCCATTTCATATATGGGATGTCATCCTTCCCATTGACAAACTCATATTTTTCAAGATGGTTTTTGCACCACCAACCAGTAGTATGTTTACCAACTGAATCGCTGGGGGCCGAGCGGCCCGGCTCGGCTCTGCGACCGTCGCTCTCTCAGGTGGTTTGCATGTTGTTTTCTCTCTTCTCGGCGGCAGCCATGGTGCCATGGCAACGATGAAAAGCGCGTGTCAACGTGCATTCTGATGGAGTCATGGTGTGTGACTAGTTAGAGTGCGTATACTTTACATATGTCTATATATTATATTAGCTAGTTAGACTTATAATTTTTGAAAAAATCATATGATTTTGTTATTTTCCCCCCTCATGTTTGAAGACTACTCCCATGAATTTAACTGGTCCATGCGGACGGTTTTTGACTCCCAAACGATAGCACGAAATCGCACAGTTCTTTGAGAATGCTCCGATAACAAAAAAGGGCTTCTTTAGGATCTTAGTTTGGTATATGGCTATGGATCAATACCTATACATACCATTTTAAGGGGGATGAACATCCATTTGCCAGCTATTTTGATGTTCACCAGGGGTACAAGGTTTTGACACACTGCCATATGGATGTATATGGTTCCATATATATATATAGCCTAGTTGTTGGAGTCTTCAACCAACTAGCACAATAGTTAGTTGGGTATATGGATGTATTACTGGCAGTTGTAAATATAGATAGCTATAGTTAGATTTGTTTAACCAAACTTATAAGGCCTATAGCTAGTCTGGCTGGTGGTTCGGAACATGATGTTTATTTTTTCCATATATATATATATATATATATATATATTGTGGGAATAATGATCCCAACTGATTAATATTTTTCAGAGGGGTAGGTCAACCACCAACCAGCTAGTGAACATATCGAACTAGTTAGATGAGCGAAACTAAAGCAAGAAAATCAAGGGGGCCATAGGGGGGAGCCCACCTTGTAGACCACAGCGCCTGTTGGTTTTGTTTCGGTTGATGATGCCATGGAGTTTAAACAGTTATGGCCAGTTATTAGTTATAACTTGTTATAAATGGGATTATAAATTCTATAAATGGGGTTTTGTTAGTACTTATAACTGGTATAACTCGGGCCATAACTGAAGGGATCTCCTGCTGAATGGGGTTTCTCTTTCTTTCGTGGGAGTAGGATGGGAATGGGGGTCCCATCTTTGGTGTCCCTACAAATGAGAGCTTACAATGTGATGCGGCCCAGTGATGTTTGTTGGTTTATAAGCCCATGAATAACTAGTTCAATACACATATATATATATAATATCATATATATAATACTCATATTATATATATATATGTAATACTAATATCATATATATATATATATATATAACAATATCTTTTGTATATAAATATATATATATAGAATGGTTTTTTCCTCACATCCAAGGGTTCAAAAGTAATCAAGGGTCACATGTTATACTAGTGGCGCTGATCTGTTCAATTAACATTGAGCCATTTCGAAAAAAACGTGAGTCAAAGAAGCTGAACTTGGCACTTGGCTTGAGAGTTACTTCCAATAGCGCTACTCTTAAATTTACTAGAGAAGAACCGCCATCCGGATTACTTACATTACGGATGCCAGAGCCCACAGTGGATCCCACGAACTATTGAAATCAGAGTAGGCCCATGATTTTGCGACAGAACATACCTGAGTTCTACCAGGTTAGATTTGCGATGGATCCTACTTTGTCCAAATACTTTTTGCGATGGATCCTACTTTGTCCAACATTAGTTTGCGATGGGACCTACCCAAATCCATCTCAAAATGATGCCAAATCTAACTATGGCCATGGTATGTGCTAGCAAGGTTTAACATGATTTGTCTCAAAACTCTAGGGTTTCGAGTGTTAGGCAACAGTTTGGTTTAGAGATGGATTTGGGTAGGCCCCATCTCAAACACAGCCTGCCAGTATTAGGGGTATTGGTCGTGGACATGTGTCTGAAAAGGCTTGCCAGTCAAAAGCAATGCTTAGAGATAAGTCTCACCCAAATCCATCTTAAAGTTGAATGTCAAAAAAGCATCTCTACCACATCCATTTGAGACAGATGGCACAAAATCCCCCAAATTGTTTGAGACAAGTCCTTGGTTTCCAATCAGTCTCACCTGAAGCGCTTTGAGATGGATTTGGGTAGGTCCCATCGCAAACTAATGTTGGACAATGTAGGATCCATCGCAAAAAGTATTTGGACAAAGTAGGATCCATCGCAAATCTAACCTGGTAGAACTCAGGTATGTTCTGTCGCAAAATCATGGGCCTACTCTGATTTCAATAGTTCGTGGGATCCACTGTGGGCTCTGGCATCCGTAATGTAAGTAATCCGGATGGCGGCTCTTCTCTAGTAAATTTAAGAGTAGCGCTATTGGAAGTAACTCTCAAGCCAAGTGCCAAGTTCAGCTTCTTTGACTCACGGTTTTTTCGAAATGGCTCAATGTTAATTGAACAGATCAGCGCCACAAGTATAACATGTGACCCTTGATTACTTTTGAACCCTTGGATGTGAGGAAAAAAACATTTAGATATATATATATATATACCACAGTCGTCCTACAGTTAAACTGTAGTTATGGGACTAGCAACTCAGCGATTTCGATCCGGGGTACCACCGCTGATCTCGGCGGTGTCTTCAGGTGCTGATGAGCATGACAAGATATTGCTGGACGCCGTGTCTCGCTCAAGTTCGCTTAAGCTCGCTGAGCTGTTAGGCTGTTGAGATTGACATCCAATGGGAAATGAGTTGGCCTCTTTGGCTCCTAGGCTCTGGGGGTTAGCGAGTTGTGTCAGTTCCAGTCTTACAGATATTTGAAAGGATATTTAATGCTGCTGTGCTATGTTTCCTTGTCATGTCTAGTGGAGGACAATCAGAGGAAATCATGGGCTCCAAAAAAACTATGATATTATATATAACAGACTAATATGGGCTAATAGTATCATTATTTTATATCATGGGCTACCCTCTGGTTATTTAACATAGCCATGGACAATCACCATGTTTAATTGGTAAACCATCTATTTCTATGGGCCATCTATACCATGGCTATGTTAAATAACCAGAGGCTAATATAACTAAAGGGCCCTCGGTTATATTTTCGACGATCTTCACAGCATCGGGAGACGTACGGATGGATAACGTACTGTGTATTTTGCTAGCGATGGGAATATATTACCCTCTGGTAAACTAACATGGTTATTGAACATTGCCATTTAGTTCGTGGATTTACCCAGCTATAACATGGTGATTTTCCATAGTTACGTTAGTTTACCAGGGGGTAACACACACACACATTCTTGAACTTCAGATTTCTGAAAAACTCCAAGCAGATCTTCAAGCTTGTGTTTCACCGGTTCACAGCATCTATGTTGCAGGAGCTTGCCATGACACATACGTCATCCTCTGAGGAACTCTTGGACCATGTCTGGTTGGTGGTTTGGAACATGAATTTTTATTTCGGAACATGATTTTTTTGACTTTCCATATATATATATATATATATATTGGGAATAATCATCCCAACTGACTAATAATCTGACTAATATTTTTCAGAGGGGTAGGTATACCACCAACCAGTTTTTGCTTTGACTGTTGATTTGTTCAGGAGACGAATCCAATCCAAGCTTGAATTTCGAATCTCCGCAAAGAGACTCAAAACTATTGATGTCTTTGTGCAATTCACCAAAATCCCACAGTTTTGGTAAACCCTACCCATGAACCCGAACATCTTTGTCTCGCAATTGACGGGTCCAGTCTTGTCGTTTCGTTATCATGATGTTTTATATGCCCATTTGAATCTGAATCCATTTGATATATACATATATGCTGATTGGTGGTTTGGAACATTCTTTATTTTTCCATATTGGGAATAATCATCCCAACTGACTAATATTTTTCAGGGGGGTAGGTCAACCACCAACCAGATAATGTATCCCCATAATCTCTCCATTTTAGATTCTTTCTCCATGTATATACATATATATATTCCCATTATATACCCATTACTAGGTCAATCTTAGATGGATACTTTAATCCTTTAGTCTTTTGGTATTAATGGGAATATCTACTAACCAGCAAAGATGTTTTTTGCAGGGTATCTAAGATTGGGCATGATTATATTTAATACGTGTCCCCTCTCGTAAATTAACATAGACCCTGAGAATCACCAATTTGTAATGGAGACTAATCTTCCAACCCCTATCTGCCAGGGTCTATGTTATTTTACTGGAGGGTAATACGTGTAAATCCTTTGTTCGACGATGATTTCTCCATTTTTTTCCAAATCTGAAGGTATGTCTATGCCATCCTCTTCGGCTCTTCGGTCACCATTGTGGAAGTGGCCAGCAAGACGACTCTCGTGGGACAGCTGGTCCCTGAAAAAAAGCAGGCGCCGATTTTCAGCAAACCTATCAGATAGGTACAAGGTGGTGCACCCCCAAACGTTATAAATTGATTTATAAACCCCATTAACTATAGATATAATTATCAACTATCAACCATAGTGAAATTGGAGTTATTTGCACCAACTGAAAGCTATCGAACGGGGGCACCACCTTGTCACCAGCCCCTAGTTTGCTATCTCAGAGGTAGGAAGATACTGGAAGGTTAGGTGGGCTGTTGCACAAAAATATACATCTCCATAGACTAGGCGGATATATGTATATATAATATACAACATAAACCCAACGGTTACATCAGTCATTTTTACCAACTTAGCTACAGTCATCATTGACAACACCGTCCCTTAGCAGGGAGCTGTCTATGGCATGGAGCGTGGACTGCTGAATTTGGGCTTCTCCTTGGGTCCACCGGTGGGTGGCAGCATCTACCAGTTCTCTCTAGGTGTGACGGGAACTGAACTACATGGGGATGTACCCTCTGGTAAACGTTAACAAAAAACTATGGAAAATCACCATGTTTAATGGGAAAAACTCACTATTTCTATGGCCATTTTCTATAGCTATGTTAGTTTACCAGAGGGTAATTGGTAGTGGCTATATCTTGTGGATATGCTGGCAACATTATAATATTGGAGATATGCTTGGAGATAGAATGAGGATAGAATGCTTATATATCTATTTAATATCATGCAATATTGTGAATATCTCATGATATATATAAAATATAGTATAGTAATGGGGATATATTAGGGATTCAATATAAGTATAAGGCTAAGGATATAATTTTCGATAGTGATGTATTGAGGATATATACTAACAATTGATAACATGAGTTTGGGGATTGTTTGAAACCATGTTTGCTGAAAAAAAACACATGGTTTCTTGGTGAAAGTACCAGTTATATTACCAAACATATTCTATGATATCCCAGTCATATCCCGACCAATTTTTGCTGCTCAAATCTATATGTTTCATATTTTTTCTGCAGCTTTTTATGTACCTTTTCTGCTTCCATCATGAACTTCAGCGCATTTTTGCTGGTCGACCCGAGTCGACCCCCCATGTTTGGTGAAATCCCAGCGGGCGCAAACGACACCGGAGAGGTTTGCCCTACATGGTGTCGGCGTGTTGTCTCTGCGTGAGCAGCTTGGTGTATCTCATGCTGCCGAGCCGCTCCAGAGGCCACAGTTTTCATGGGAACAATATGGAGGTTTTGGGACGTGGGAAAGCAATGGAGAAAATCCAGAAAGGACACCTGGAGATTTTTTTGTGGGACTGACAATAGAAAAATCAGGGAAAAGCATGGGAAGGACATGGGAAAATCCTGGGAAAGACATGGGACAAAATATGGGATCATGAGAAAAACATGGGAACATCATCTGTAGATGGAGGTTTTAATATGTTTTAATGGGAAATCCATGGAAATCCCTCGATCCTATTAAAATCACAGCCAAATATCTATGCTTCCAATATTAGTGTCAATGTAAATCCATATACATTCCCTACTTTTTACCATGGTTTCTGGCTGGTGTTTTTCATATTTTCACAAGATGCTCCGAGTTGACAGCAGTCCAACATAAGGATCATGACCCATGAACTTGGAAATCCGTTCACCAAATGGCCATGGGAAATCTCTGTTTGACCACGGCTCACTATTCCACCTTCAGAACTGTCGAATTTTAAAGGGAAGAAAGGCATCACTGACCACAATTTTTCAGCATGTCGAGGAATCAAACACGGCAATGGTAAATAGCAACCCTCAAGTGGACCAGTGGACAAAATTATGCGTAGGTTTCCTACCAAATTGAAACGTTCACATCCTTGAAACATCTGGAAACGCTTTTTTTTTTGAAACGGCGTCTTGAATGGGGTATCCCTAGACCAAAAAAAAACGGGGACACAATGGGAGGTAGTGAGTTTTTTAAACCATTGGACTTTAGGGAGCCCGGACTATTCAGACAACTCCGGTGCCTAAATTCGTTGACCACACACGGCCCAGATTTTTGTTGGGGAAGCCCCACTCAGCTTGGATCCACAGATTCCCCGTTGCAAACCCCGGTACTTGGAAGGTCCTTTCACTGCACCTACCAGTATATCACACGGATATATATATATATATAATTATATATATGCACATATTATGCACGTTAAAAATGCATTATGCATGATGGTATCTCATGGTATCTCTACATTTATACATCCATATGCATATATAGTCATATATATATATATACACATACATAGCAAGTCCCAAGAAAGAGATGGGACAGTAGAATTCAGCCACAATGAAGGTACCTCTGGCAACGTGGCAAGCCACGGTTGACGACCGGAGGATGATCATAATCTATGGGAATCCCAGGCCCTTTTTAACCACTTCGCTTGGGGGTTGAATCAAGAAAGATCGGAAAATACAGAGATGGTTGTATATGATCCATGATACATCATCCCCCTGATATATCCATAAACAAATCCCATAGAAACACTATAATGCCCATGATATGTCCATAGACAATCGCATAGAAACACTATAATCCCCATGATATGTCCACAAACAAATCCCATAGAAACGTGATTATCCCCATACAGTATGATATACCCACAAACAAACCCCACAGAAACACTATAATCCCCATGATATCTCCATATACAAATCCCATAGAAACCCTGTAATCCCCATCATATATCCACAAACAATTCCCATAGAAACACTATAATCCCCATATATCCATTGTTATTCCCATTAGTTGTGGTTCATTTTGGTGTTGTTGTTGGGGGTTTTCCTTGATCTTCCGGCCGTGCCAGGTCAGCCGTTACTTCCGGAGGATGACGACGAGGGCGGCAGCCGCGAAGCTTTGGAGCACTGGAGCAACCAGGCGCGCTGAAGTCGTCATTTTCTCGGGGATATCATCGGGATTTCATGGAGATATACTATTACCCCCTGGTAAATTAACATAGACCCTGAGAATCACCAATTTGTAATGGAAACTAGTCTTCCAACCCCTATCTGCCAGGGTCTATGTTGATGTACCAGAGGGTACCCCCCAGTAAACTAACATAGCTTTGGGTTTGGCCCAGTTCTTTTGATTTACCTATAACGCATGGTCGGTGATTTTCAATAGTTATATTACCAGAGGGTAGCTGATAATATGGGACTCAATTCGCCAGATGGCAATATCATGGGGTGGTATATGATGGTAATGTTGAGATACAGAGTGGGGAGATACGGAATGGGTAAACTAAGAACATTTGTGTAATGCAACTTCTGTGCGCCATGGTTAAAAGCTGGATTAGATATGATTACTGATTGGTTGTTTGGAACATTTTTATTTTTCCATATATTGGGAATAATCATCCCAACTGACGAACTCATATTATATTTTTCAGAGGGGTAGGTCAACCACCAACAAGGTATAATCTCTGGATATTTATCACGTATCTATGGAAAATGATGCACAATTGCTCATTCTATAGATGATTTATGATGATTTATATACATAAAAAACTTATATTATATAACCCAGTTTCCTTGGGATCGTCATACCACCACTGTTTCAGTGGCTTTAATTTTCCACAAAAACCATGTTTTGACCATGGCTCACTTGAAGATTCCTGAAATGAGTCCTTCATGACTTCAATTGACGAAAACACCATGACCACCATAGTATTGGGGTTATAATCCACAAAATAAACCACCATAAAGATAACCACCATAAAAATGACCACCATAAAAATAACCACCACAAAATGACCACCATAAAAATAACCACCATAAAATGACCACAAAAATAATCCACAAGTTCTTGGGATTTGGCATGGCTTATGCTGGCACAACGGCACGAGATCCCGGGCCTTCACAAAATAGTTCCAGGCCGTGGCGATGTTCGCCGAGATTAGGCAGATATGGATAGATATGGGGATGGATTTTATGATTTACCCTCTGGCAATTTGTTACATAGCTATTGAAAATGGCCATTTATAGTGGATTTTCCCATTAAAAATTGTGATGTTCAATAGCTATGTTAGTTTACGAGAGGGTATCTATCCATATAAATATGGGCATTTTATGACTTTCCATTACGGATATGGATTTATAAACCACTACATAATTATGGGATGGATTTATGTATTAAATACCCATCCATTACCCAACTGCTGGTACCGGGTACCCTTGTGCCAGAATTTTGACTCCTGGCTGGGAGATATTCCGTGGGCGATTGCCAGAGACGTCGCTTGAAGTTCACAAAAGCAGGGACAAAGAACACCTTTTCTGGTTGGTGCTTTAGAACCATGGAATTTTATGACTTTCCATTCAGTTGGGATTAATGGATTGTAGTGGTTTACTGGATTTTAATGGATTTTAGATGATTTTAATCATTTTTTCCATATATTGGGAAGAATAATCCCAACTGACTCATATTTTTCAGATGGGTTGAAACCACCAACCAGCTGAGCTGTGTGTCCTCTTCAAGAAGGCAATCATTTTGATGGGTTTCTGTATATCTCACCTGTTTACACAGAGCCAACGTGCATTTTCTGATTCAGAGATCAACATATCCTTTTCGGGATCATTGGCTGTCTCATGACCAGTATTTTAGTAAATCCCGCTTTAAACCACAACCAGTTTCACTGCTTTGAGGTATCACGCAGCTTACAAGAACTTGAAAACCTGAAAATGCAATACCTGGACCTCCCAAAGTACAGAAAATTCTAGGTATGGAAAATTGTCCTACAAGACCAATGATCAAGCTATTTTCCTCAGCTTTCCCATGGTTTACCGAACCATTTTTCGGCGCAAGCTGGCCGACCCAGCATGGCACGCATGGCTCCAGGCCCCACTTCCGGCGAAGAGGTGCATCAGCTGAAGAAATGGGGATGTGATTTTGGTAAAATTTACCACATATCTATGGATATTTAATGGGATTTCATGGTGGTTTAAGGGGATCCAATGGTGATTAATGGAGGTTTACCTCTGGTAAACATACAAAAAACTATGGTAAATCAACTATTTCTATGGCAATTTTCAATAGCGAACTGTTAGTTTACCAGAGGGTAGGTATAATCTCTGGATATTTAACACATATCTATGGAAAATGATGGACAGTTGCTCATTTTATATATGATTTATGATTATTTACATACATTAAAACAAATGTGTGTTTCGGTAGCTACGGTACATAACCAGAAGGTGTCTTGGGAATACAATGGTTAACTAACTATAACTGAGGTTTATAGTCTATAGGAGGATATAACTAGAGCTACCCTCTGGTAATTTAACATAGCTATTGAAAATTGCCATTTAGTTTTTGGATTTACCCAGTGAAAATGGTGATTTTCCATAGCTGTGTTAGTCATTACCAGAGGGTAGCTATAGCTGTAACCAAGATAGCTAATTTGGTGAACATAACTGGGTTAACTATGGTGGACATTGGAGGACATATCAATAGTTCATGGGTGTTAAAAACCAACAGATTTTTTCTGGGGGGGCACCACCCTGTAGGTATTGGGAATGTGCGGACATAAAGTATAGTAGCCATGTTTAACTAGAGTGTGTCTGAAAATGGGATAGAACAACTCGAGATTTCCATTTTTTTTTTAGCATCCCGGATCAAAATCCCGTGGAAAATACCGGGTACCCAAAAATCGTAGACACCACACAGAAATTACCTGAAGCTCCAGGACAACATGAAATCAATGAACTGGTGCTGAGTATTGAAAAATCTTGAATCAGCTATTAATACTATGTAGAATGATTTGAAATTAAGAAACACATGGATTTAGTTTTATTTAGTTTTAGTCGAACGTAGATCCTGGTTTGGTAGATTGTGGAATCATGTGCAATTTAAATAGATTTATGGTTCCTACGTTTCGCATGTGATCAGTGGGGTCCCGTCCGTTTCAGAGGATTTGACCACCCAGATTTGTTCAGTTTGCGGTGATTCCCCTTGATTATGTTGGTTGGTTTATAACCGCCATGAACTACATATATTAGGAGGTTTTCCATCACAAACCAACTATTTTGGGTATTCCCATTTATGGAGACTCATTTATATATATATAATTAAATATATACCACAAGCCCAAGAGTTGTTTGAGTTATGTTTACCAACTTAGAGATTCCGAAATTGGTCACCACCAGTTATAACGTTTGGCATAAGTATATACAAGGTGGTGCCCCAAGATAGCTAAGTTTGTCTATAATTCTAATAACATCTAAGAACCAGGACTTATGGTAGAGGTGTCGAACTAGTTACTGGGATTACAAACCAACAAACATAACTGTGGGCACCACATTGTATATATATATATATATACATAATTATATATATATATATACAATGTGTGTATATACATATCCCCCTTGTAGCCCCATGAAATCCCCATGATATCTCCATTATCCCAATTGTATCCCAATATTGTAGCCCTATTGTCACTATACCCTATGAAATATCCTCATAACTCTCCGTTTATCTGTACATATATATATATATATATATATTACACAGATACATCATGATACATCCATGTTGTATCCCCACGATATCCCGATATTGCTACAATCTGGGGCCCCCAAGATAGCTAAGTTGGTTTATAACTCCAAAAACTATGCTTTATGATACATATATATATAGTACCCATGGAGTTTACAATTATGGCTCTTTACCAGAACAAAACCCCATTTATAGAATGTATCATCCCAATAATCCCAGTTATAACCAGTTATAACTAATAAATGGCCAGAACTGTATAAAACAACAAACATATCTTGAGGGCTCCACATTGCTATGAAAATAAACAGGATCGGCGCCGTGATTGTGGCGGAGCGCGCCCGTCGTGTCTATTTTGTGTGCCCTGAGCTCTATGAAGCCTACCGCAACAACAACCGGATTCTCGGCAATGCTCGGAGGCAATGGTTGAGAATGGTTAAGTCATCTATAGGGATGGTGATTATTGTTGGTCATAATACTCCCTTCCCCCTATACTAACCCCCCCAAAAAGATAAACACCTCAGGTAGTGGTCATGATTGGGGGAGGGATTAGTGATCATAGTGGTGATTATTGCGAGTTGACATGGGGGTGACTCTGAAAAGTTGACATGGGGGTGACTCTGAAAAGTATGCCACCATGGTTGTTGATAGTATACTATACTGGTTGGTGGTTTGGAACATGTTTTATTTGTCCATATATTGGGAATGTCATCATCCCAACTGACGAACTCATATTTTTCAGAGAGGTAGGTATACCACCAACCAGCCATGGTTGTTTAATGGTCATCCATGATTTGAGGAAGATGATTGGAGCACTTTCATGTTAGGAAATTTCCACATGCATATGCGAAAGTGGCTTCGATCTAGCCCTGTCGATGAATAATGGCTTTATACGGTATTGTACGTTAAAAAATCATGGGATTGTTTGAACCAACGAGTATTTTCTGCTCGGATTTGACAAATTGCCTATGGACATCATGTTGGGGTCCGGATTCTCCAGGGCAAGGGACCCTGGAAAAAACCCTGGAAAATCCGACTATGGTTGATGGACGCACTACATGGCCTATGTATGTTTGAGCCTACGGGTTGAAAACCGTCCGAGCGTTTTAGGCATTTTTTTATATTATATGTTCCTTGGGGTGGGGTGGGGTGGGGTGGGGCAATAACGTTCACGTACTTGCGCCCTCCCATGATGTTACGCCACGGCACGTTCACTTGCACGTGCGCACATACGTCATGCTACGTTGAAGATGTGTCACGTCATGCAGGGGTGGGGTGTGGTGGGGTGGGGCAATAACATTCACGTACTTGCGCCTCCCATGATGTTACGCCACGGCACGTTCACTTGCACGTGCGCACATACGTCATGCTACGTTGAAGATGTGTCACGTCATGCAGGGGTGGGGTGTGGTGGGGTGGGGCAATAACATTCACGTACTTGCGCACTCCCATGATGTTACGCCACGGCACGTTCACTTGCACGTGCGCACATACGTCATGCAAATGTAGTTGGAAAAGCCCTGTTGTAGAAAACAGGTGTGTACTTAGCGAAGATCTATAGAGATCACCGGAAAAAATGGCTGCCGCTGAGGTTTTGGGCACGCTGACTTCCCAAAAGGAACCTTTTTCGCACTCCGACATGTCAACTATATACAGTAAATCCCAATGAAAATTCTAAATCACAATAGAATTGACCTTCATGGACAACATAAAAACATGAAAAAACACTGCGAAACGCATGATTGACTTCTTGCCAGTCACATGAAAATGCTGTTTTTACTCGGCCCATTTCCAACCCGGCGGGATGTTTGAGGTACGAGTATACCTTGGGGCCCTTGGTGGCACATGAAATGAAGTACAAAAAAAAAACGCCCAAACGATAGCACAGTTGGAGCGCATAACTTGGTGAAAACTGTTGGAACTGACCCAAGTTACATCGCCCAGGATCCCGTTCCAACTTCCAACCTGCGTTCGAACGGACCCATTTTTGGGATGCTTTTTTTTTTGACCATGGGATGAAAATGCAGAAAGATACAGGAGATTTGACCCATACGAAACACCCTCCAATCAATAGGCATAGACTCTTAAACTGTTAATATTATTAATCTGGGGGAGGGTAACCACTGTTGAAATACTTAAATCATCTAGAGACGGACATAGATGGACTATTTACCCTCTGGTAATTTAACATAACTATTGAACAAATCCATTTAGTTTGTTGATTTTCCCATTAAAAATGGTGATTGTCCAATTCGCAAACTTTTACGTTTACCAGAGGGTACCATGTTTATAACCACTATTCATGTTTATTAACCCATATTATCCCATGGAATATCCACATGTTATCCCATTGTTATTGGGTTGATTAACCACTACTAACCACCATAGCTATTGAAAATGGCCATAGAAATAGTAGATTTACCCAGCTATAAAATGGTGGATCTTTCCATCGTTTTTGGTATGTTTACCAGAGGTTAAACCTCCATTAATCACCATTGGATCCCCTTAAACCACCTTGAAATCCCATTAGATATCCATTAAATCCCATTAAGTATCCATTAAATCCCATTAAATCACCATTAATCAGAGTAATCCCATCATGGCTACCTTTGAAATGTCCCCACTTCGCTGGATCCCCGCCATCATGGTACCCATGGAATATCCCTGAGATTCACAGAGGAATTTGGTACGGCGACACTCTGGGGGAGAGCTGCCAGGCCGGACGAGCTACCGTTGGGGGAGAGCTTGGTGGCTAGTTTTACGTAAAAATGTGGATTGAATTAACAAACATGGGGGATTTATATATATATATATATATAATATAATATATAAATAAAATAATATATATATACCCTGGCCTTCCAAAACCATCTCAAACAAAAGGCTTTAGTAGAACCCCCTTTGTTTGTTTTCCAGGGTCCCTTACCCCATGGGTGCGCCACTTTTGTCCCCAAGCAAATTAACCACGCTTTTTGCGTAGTCAACCCAGCGCGCAGACGTAGAACCTTGCGCCGTGCGGCAATGAAGCCATCATCCTCACACATACTCTTCAGCCACTCCTGACAGCAGAAACATAGAAACTCGAACCAGCCCCATGTAAGGGAATTGATTTAGAAACAGCATATTAATTCAATTATAGTTATTAAACTTATCATCTGTAATTAAAAAACAAAACACTCTCATCAATGAGGATTATATTGTTGTAGTACTTCTCATCCATTCACATATGTTGCATGCATGCTGTATATATCGATCTGAATACCCTGGGGATCCACGACCTCAACAAAATGATATGGACATGATTTTTTTTCTCCTCGAGCAATGCCACATTTTTGGCATTCAGCCGCTTAGGTGTGAACATCCATGGCTCCAAATCAGCCATGATCGGCACACTCCCCACCCACATACAAACAATGCAATGCTGAGGATTATAATCTGTATTATGTCCTTTATTTGCTTTCATGTCAGGCCCGTTGGCGTACATCCCCCCTTAAGCCAAATTGATGGGATGAATCATGAATGATGGTGACCCATGCGATTTGGCAAAAAAACACAGCAGCAAGTAGGTGGGTGTGTAGGCAGGGATGGGAGGCACCCAAAAACTCATCGAGGTGGATGATGTCTTCTCCAGAAAGACGCTCCATACAACCTGGGAGGAAAGGCCCAACTACTTGAATTCAACCCATACAGGTACAGTCGAAATACATTTCACACATTGAGGTTGAATTCAAGTAGTTGAGGACCAGACCGAGAGCTAGTGCTCGCTTCATAGTGCCATGGCATCATTCCCAGATCAAACGAGCCATCATTGTTTTTTGTCACCACAGGTAGTTGGGAAGTCTAGAACATCTTTTGGGTTGATGACCCGAGGCAGCTATTCAGGTTTCCATCTATCAGGTGATTTTACCTCCACCACAATCAGTATGATATATATTCGATACACACTATGCGCCATGTTGGCAGTGATTCATTCTTACCTACTGGTTGGTTGCACCCCATTGCAACCAACCTAAGCCAAAATGGCCTGAGTCATCACTGATTCATATCCATGCAGGTCATACTCAATGGCAGGTGCAAGAAAAGGTCGTTCACAGCAAACAAAAGATATATTCTAACCACCTTTGTTTTAAAGGTCGTGGATCCCTAGGGTATATATATATACAATATATAACATATAATATAATATATGTAATATGATATGTGTATATATATAATATGATATATATAATATAATATATATATATAGTTTTAATAATTATATATTAGTAATAATAACAACAATAATAATGATAATATATTTGTAACTATGATAATTATATATATATAGTTGTTTCATGTTGGTTTGTCGTTGGTTTGTCACTAGCTTGACTGGGTTTATCGAGACGCGGCGAACATAAACAAACATAAACAAAGAAATACAACTGGGGGACACCACTTTGCGGAGGTAGATATGTTTGTTGTTTTATACTCCATTGAAGTAGCCAGTTATTTCACTAATAAATGACCATAACTGTACATCCTCTCATGAATATCCATTTTTTTTTCCAGAGAGGCGATGCCTCGTCCAGGCTCCTCGTCCGCCTTTGCTGCTCTGCGATCCAATACCATCGGCGGCTTGGTGCCGACATGGGCCGACCACAGGGTGGACCTGGGTCCACCTGTTGCGGAATATTCATCAGAGGATATCAAGGGATATTGTGAGTGAATGTGATGTTTCTACAAGGTGGTGCCCCATAGTTAGCTAAGTTGGTTTATAACTCCGATAACTATGGTTTATGGTAGATATAACTATAGTTAATGTGATTGTAAACCAACTTATAACTGGGGGGCACCATCCTGTATAAGTTTCAATGATTATTGTAATGATGATTTAACTCTCAATCATGGTGATACACCATTAATATGGATATATTGGAATTAGTTGGAGAAGTTTTCTGGATTAATTATGAGTAAAATGGTGATTTGACCATTAAATCTGGTGTTTTTTTCTTTTAAGGTGGTACAATGGGGATATGATCGGGATACAATGGAGAATAATATGGATGAATTGTGTTGTGACCTCAAACGTCACTGGAATGATGGGAATTCTAAGGGGACATGGCAGTGAATTAGTATACTTCAGGCCATTTTTTGTAGGGAAAATAGTTGTCAATCATTGTTTTGGGGTACCCTGTCTTTAGGCAATCCTACATGTGATGTTGGTTTTTGATATTTGTCATGAATACTGTAATTTATAAGTGTTATAAACCTTAGTTATTCGAGTTATGTTCACCAACTTGGCGTTCACGAGCTGGGGCACCTTCTGGACCGAGTATACTTCACCCTGGGATGATCGTGATAATCCACTTGTCGAACTGGGACCCGGTCGAGGCCATTTCTGATATTTCTGATGTCTACCCTCTGGTAGCCTAACATAGCTATTGAAAATTGTGTTTTATCGTGGATTTTTCCATAAAAAATGTGATTTTCCATAGTTATGTTAGTTTACCAGAGGGTATTGTTTTTTGTTTTTAACCTATATGACCTATATTTATGTATTTAGTATACACAAAATCGCCACCCGGAGTTGCACGCCCACACATTTACGCTGCTGCATATAGATACATAATAAATATATATTTTTTTTTTCTACACAGCCAAATCATATACTTCAAGAGGCTGTAGATCATCATAATCCTCCTCCTCCTCCTCATCATCATCATCATCATCATCATCGTCCTCCTCATCATCTAACCATCATCATCCTAATTGATATGATTGGTTTCATATCCTCATTCTATTCCTGTATCCTTTATTTTATGCCTATGGGACTTTGTTCTAGAATAGTTACTGGCTTACTAGATATTGGAATAGTTTATGCGAAGATTATCATGCATACTTGCCCATTAGAAGTTATTGAACTATGGCTTGATATACTAATACATATATACATATATATATATATCCAGTAACTTGATCCTATTAGTATATAGTTGTTACCATCATGGGACATCTCGACCCGTACCAATCGCCCAGGTGAACCACTGTCGCAAGTGCTCGACAGGCAGGAACGACAAGTTTCCCTTGGCGATGAGGTGGTCCGATATTCTGACCCAGACCTCAACAAACTGTCGGACAGTCAGGACGGTCCGCGGATCCGTGAATGATGATTTTTCTCAAAAAACAAAAAGTGTGGATATGTCATATGACGTCATGTTGTAAACTATAAAACGGTTGTCTTTACAATCTTTACATATCTTTACCATGTTTTCAACAGAGCCGTGGAAAATCCACAATCTTCGACAGCAAACTTGATCATCGACAGCGAAAAATGACATTTTTTTGTCATGGCGGAATCATCCCCAAATGGAGCTCTTGATCTGGTTGATTAAGGATAGGCTGCCTCCAAAATAGCCGGTACCCTCTGGTAAACATACAAAAAACTATGGAAAATCACCATTTTCAATGGGTAAATCCATTGTAAAAGTGTGATTTTCCATAGCTATGTTAATTTACCAGAGGGTACCTCCCCAAAAAAGTGATGTAATCTGCTCATTAAACGGATAAAACGGTACCTCCCCAATGATCGACAAGCCTGGTCTCCGGGAATAAAACTAGGGATCGACGCTTGAAAGTACCATGTCATACTCTATTCGTTGACGCTGATTGCAGTTCAAACATGTTCAAAGTGTATATATATATACATAGCTATATATATATATAGCTATAGTAATGTAGTTAAGTACTCTCTTGAAGTTAAGTACTCTATTGATTGATCGACATTTCGACTCTATTTCCGGTTCCTGTGGGATGATCCGCTTGGTTGAAGACAGAAAATCTCAAGCAATGCTAACCAGTGGTTGGTGGTCACTGGAACCATGGAATTTTATGATTTTATATTGGTTTATGGAACATGAATAGAATTGTTCCATATATTGGGAAGAATAATCCCAACTGACGAGCTCATATTTTTCAGAGGGGTAGGTATACCACCAACCAGTTGATGTACTTCAGTATTGCTTGATACTCCAGGATACGGCTCGAAAGTTCAGCCAATGCGGCCATTGATTGATTTTAGCAACCGAAAAAAGAAAACAACAACAACAACAACAACAACAGCAACAACAGCAACAACAGCAACAGCAACAGCAACAACAACAACAGCGACAACGACAACAACAACAACAACAACGACAACAACTTGTAGACAAGTACTTGGGGGGTGGGATTGGGGTTATTCTTGTGGGTATCAACCATGGAATCTAAGCCCCCTAAATTTGGATATAGCCACTAACCATATGGTTCTATAATGTTCTATATCCAGTTTTATTTCGATCTGCACCTCCAAGTACATTGTGCTTCGCTGTTTTGAATTCGGATGTTCCTTTTGCTATGTGAAATGCGAGAAGGGTATGTCCGAAAACATCTAAAAACCAGACCTGACTCTCATTCGAGGTGATCTTGAATATACATGTACCCTTTGGTAATTTAACATAGCTAGCAGTATGGTTTATAAACAATTATAATCCCCATTAACTATAGTTATATCTACCATAAACCATAGTTAAACCATGTTAAACCACTTATAAGGCAACTTAGCTATCTTGGGGGCCCCACCCTGAGTGAACATGGCCCATTTAGTTCGTTGATTTAGCCATTACAAATGGGGATTTTCCTTAGTTATGTCAGTTTACCGGAGGGCATCATTCCTGTAAAATCCTGTATAAACAAGATTTTACCGTTCAACCTTTGCACTTCCGAAACTATTGTAAAAAAAATATGGTATAACACGTTTCCCAAATCCTCTTAGCGACCCAGGAAAATGTATCTACATGAAGCATATGCACATCCGCAAGTATAGTCTGCAGAAACTTTCCATGCATTCATGACTCACCATCTTTGCTTCGGATGACAACACCAATTCAGGTTTTTTCCGTAGGAATGGGGTGGCTCAACATCATAAGAATTGCCAGAATTGGTTGAATAAGGAAAATTGTGCAGGGTTAACTCCCATACTTAGCTGGAAAACCATATGGTTTCCTATAAAAAAAACTATATTGCGACGGACTTATACTTAGAACATCAATTTTTCCAAAATTTCGAAACCTCCTCTTAGAACATCAAAATTACCATACTTAGAACATCAGAAATGTTTCTAAGTACGCACTTAGAACATCAGAAAAACAGATACTTAGAACATCTCCATTGATTTTTGCATACTTAGAACATTAAAACACACATATACTTAGAACATGTCCTGTTACTTTGGTAAATCTGCATATATACACACAAATACCTTGGTGAACACCATACTTAGAACACTTTCTCCCCTCACTGCTGCAGCATTCTATACCTTTTCTTCGGGAACAATATCCCAAGCAGTCTTCGCTGCAATGGGAAGGTCTCTAGTAATTTGTGGGTTTCCTACAGGGGGTAGTCAAAAAGCATAGGTTATATATATATATACTTATAGTGTGTATATATATAATTAGCGACGGACAAATACTTCGAACATACATATATGTATGGTTCCCATTGGTTCCCCACTGGGATGTTCTAAGTATAGCTTGGAAATGTTCTAAGTATAGGTTTTGGGTATGTTCTAACTACTTTTTTTGAAACCCATACTTAGAACATCCCCGCTGTGACGATTTTCAGATTTTTTTTCCAAATGATGTTCTAAGTGTTTGTCCGTCGCTATATCCCTTTGACTACCCCCGTGACACTTCTTCGTGGATTGCTCCGACTTCTTCCCTGCAACTGAACAGCGTTGCACTGGTCAGAAGGCCCTTTCAATTAGGGGCCCATTGATTCACTTGTACAAAGACGCCAAAGACCTTCAGGATTTCCCTTGATTTCCGATGTCCTCATGCGAAAGAGAAAATCCAAGTCGACGTCGACGGGCGTTTAGCGAGGGGTTTGGATCCTTTAGGACGTGACCTGATATAATTTGCAAGGATCCATATGTTTGGTTGCAAGTCATATGGCATAGAGGTTGCTTCATGTTGCTTGCAATTTTGTCCGATTTTCGTTTGTTTGCGTAAATTTGAGTAGCTCGTAATTTTCAGTAGCTATTCATCCCAGGGTTCTTTCTCTTAAACGGGTGTGTCTGAAAATAGGGTATATTCCCAATTATAGCCATTTAATAGGGATAATGATCATTAACCATTGGGTTTAGGGGTACACTATTTTCAGACACACCCAAACAAGTAGAAGCATGAGCATCTCTCCCTCTCTCTTTCTCCCCTGCGTCGTCCCTCCACGCACACGTTGTGTTGCAAGGCATGGGCATGTCGACATCGTCCAATCGAGGCTGGTCATATCGCGGTTCTATACAATGTGGCGCCTCCAAAATAGCCTTAGGTTGTACAAGGTGGTGCCCCATAGTTAGCTAAGTTGGTTTATAACTGCGATAACTATGGTTTATGGTAGATATAACTATAGTTAATGTGATTATAAACCAACTTATAACTGGGGGGCACCATCCTGTAGTGATAAGTTTCATAAATATTCATAAATCATTGGAGTTGAAAAAACAACTTAGACTGAGTCAGGATTTTTGACACCAGATTTTGAATGGGCATATTCCTTTTATAGTCTTAGATGTCGGGGGCACCACCTAAAAAAGGAATATGGGACGCTGACCGGTGCATACCATCCCCAATAGAGAAACCATAGAGGTGTTTATCATTTAAGGCATACTCTGAGAATATGTATATATATATATATATTATATTAGGTTACATTATATTATATTAATACATATGTTATGGGTTATGTACTGGTATCATACTTTTGTTGCCTTTTTTTTCCGGGGTTTTGGACAAGACATGGTTTGGGAGTCAAACGGCAGGAAAAACTGCCCTCGAACATGTTTTCCACTTTTGGAGCTCAGAGAAACACTGCAAGAACGAAAGGGCGCACATTGGCACTAAAACGGTGCAAAATGGCGCTAAAACGAAGAAAAATCGTGCAAAAAGCCGGAGACAATAGAAACATGTTGTTTTGCAAAGTTCTTCCGAATTGGCAGAGAATTTTTATGATTTTACACAGGGTGCGATAGGTATAATTCAAGTTGTAAACCACATAAAAAGTGTTTTTTAGCCAACAAGAAACTTCTCGTTTGGGGACGGTTTATAGATGTTTATACGACCCATTTGTTTCGTGATGACTGATGGTAAAAATGGGGGTGAATCCCACATCTACATACATCTACCACATGCAAGGCGGGATGCACTAATAGGGGAAATCAATGCGTTGCCTACCAGGCAGATGGAGCCAGCATCAGACGAGGCGACAGGTCAGGAATCGACCCTTGTTGGATGCGGGTGATCCAAACCTCAATGTCTTCGTTTTTGCATGAGAGAAGCAGATACATTCTGGTAAACTAACATAGCTATGGCAAATCACCATTTTTAAAAGGCGATTCAACTATAAATGGCCATTTTCAATAGTTACTATAAATTACCAGAAGGTACAGAAATTAGAGACATCCATATTTGTTCGTAATTAGATTCATCCATTCATACAATTCCATACATACATCCGTGGATATTGTTGACATTTGTATCATTGGCATTTCTACATTGATGCGCAGTTAGATACATCTGTGTGTGTGGGCCTATTGAGATCCTCTTCGTACATATACATAATAATCATATTTTATATGTACTTGTATACTCATATTTGTATGTGTATATGTTATGTATATTTATGCATATTACTTTCATATCAAGAAGTTTGTGGATACGTTTGATAGCATCCCAGACCATCAGGAGTTCAGAGTTTCACTCAGAGTGCATGTCAACTGACGAGCAGGCCATTGCTGATCGTTGGCATGACATCCTTACCATCCAGATTGGAAGGCCTGAAGGAAATGATGCATTCATTTTGCGTGCGCTAAGGACGTGGATGTGATGATAAGACATAATTAATCATCTGGTGGATTTTTCTGTACCTTGGTCAAGGCTAGCAGAATCCACGCAAAAAAAAGTAGGCTGAAACTTACATTCGAATTTACCCTCTGGTAAACTAACAAAGTTATTGAACATGGCCATAGAAATAGTGAGTTTTCCCATTAAAAATGGTGATTTTCCATAGCTATGTTAGTCATTACCAGAGGGGACTTGCCAGAGAATTCGATCAGCTCCTTCCTGGATTTGCTGACATTTCGAAACCAATAGCTCCAAGGAAGTAATGACAGGCCAGGCGAACCCATTCGAACACGTGGAGTAAGCTGCGAACTCGGTGACAAAACGTGGTGTTTTCAGATGGCAAAGCTGATGCAGAAACTCTGTGGAATTTATATGAATTTATCTCATGCAAAGTGACGCTCGTGAAATGTACCTGTTGCTTTATAAACTCCGCTAATGTTAGTACAGCATAGTAAAGCAATGTCATAAAGCACCCATATGTTGATGGTTTATACCACCCCTAAAATTTGCAAATTTGGGGGAGGGTGGATCCTATTGCTTTGCTAACATTTCTTCCATATGTCCACCATAAGCAAGGCGAGGCCCCCCAGTGATGTTTGTTGGTTTATTAAGCCCCTAAACTATAGTTATATCATGTTATATCCCCCTCATCAACCCTTAATAACCAAATGATAAGTCAACTTGGCTATCATAAATCAGCTACAAATCCCATGGTTACATCCCCTATGTTTGTTGGTTAAATCGCCATGGTTAACCGCCATATTTTCCTACGGCAAAACGGTTGTGAAATCTCTCACCGGAACCCAGCGGCTCGCTGGCAGCTGCAGGCGCCTGTGCAGCATTGAACTCGATTATTGCACAGCCCGAGCCTCAAAACAACTGTATTCTCTATAGTTATGGCCATTATTAACCATTATTAACCATCAATAACCATTATTCACCATTTAGCCAATGACGATGTTCAGGGTCTATGTTAATTTACCACAGTTATGGCCATTTATGAGTGAAATAACTGGTTATTTCAATGGGATGAGAAACATTCTATAAATGGGGTGACTTGTTAGTACTTATAACTGGCAAAGGGCCATAACTGTATAGTTGGTATCTGATCGCGGTTCTATACTACAATGTGGCGCCTCCAAAATAGCCTTAGGTAGTGATAAGTATCATAGATATCTGGTTGGTGGTTTGGAACATGTTTTTATTTTCCATATATTGGGAATAATCATCCCAACTTGCGAGCTCATATTTTTCAGAGGGGTTGGTATCTGAATATATGATAATATCCCAGTATCTAAATAAAGAATCTATGATATTGATAATATATAATAGTTTATAGTTGATCTCTATTGTAGTTGATCTCTATATTGAGTTGACCTCTATATTGAATATCATAAAACCTATCTAAGTAATATACTGTATATATTATATACTCGCACATCCCAGTATCCTAAATATCATACATATATATAATTATAATTAATTATATATATTATAGAGAGAAAAACTATGAGAAACTAGTGTTATTTTTAATTTCTGATTTCATAATATCATATTGTATATTATATCATATTTATTGTTATTCAACTGAAAATACAATGGTGATTGAAATAACTGCATATAGTGGGATATTACCGGGATATTAATGGGAATATAATCATTTGCCAAGGCATTTATTTTGCGTGATCCCAAAACAAAGATTCAGACAGCTATGGAAAATCGCCATTTTAAAAGGTACCCTAGGGTAAACTAACATAGATGTGGAAAATCAACCATTTGTAGATCATTGTCCTAGGAAACCATAGTTTTTGCACATCTGCGTTAGTTTACCCTAGGGCCCTAGGGTAAATAATCTATAAATTGGCCATGTTCCATAGCGAACTGTTACTTTACCAGAGGGTATACAGTATACAGATACAGTCTTAATGACGTTCCTGTTGGTTACTCCACATCTAGATACAAAAACAAAAACTTATTTTCGAGCTGCCACAAGAATTGATGACATCGATTTATGCGTGGAGCCCTGGGTTTTCATTTGATATGTTTGTCTTTGAGCGACCCAAAGATGCTAAAGTCGAGATCTTTGATAAATAGTAAATTCCGAACCGCAATTCCCAAGTGCATCGATTTTTCGGAACCGGAACTCCCAAGTGCATCGTTTTTCTGAATCAGGATTTTCAAGCGCAGCGTTTGTTTTGAACCGGGACGTGTAACCATAATATCAGCTTAAAATCAAGTCCATCATTTTTTTTTATTTTTGAATTGTGCGTCCTTCCGTTTCGAAAAAACTAAGCCCTTTTGCCCATCATGTCAAGTGGAAGCATTTAGCTGATTGGATGAAAAATGAAGCGGCACCATCTTTAGCATCTACATGGAATAAACATAGCACCATTATGAATACTCAAAATTGATTATCATCAACCCATCCTCAACCTTGCCTGGGAGATTACGGGAGTATGTGGGAACCAGTTAGTTTGAAATGAGCCCCAAATACCTTGAATGATATATATATATATATAGTCACAAGATGTGATGAGAATAGTCTGATAATGATAGTAACATACTAGAAATACTAGTCATAATGATAAGAAACATAGTATCCTACTAACACAGTAGGTATGAATCATGATGATCACTCATTATCATAATAGTGATGATTCAGTAATTGTTTGCGTGTAACATGATCTAGATATGTATATATATATATATATATGTATACCCGATATGATTCAGGATCTAAAAAATATCGATTTAATATCAATTATTCATATATATGTATACCCATATCATATGTATATATATATATGGTTACGATTCAGTCAGAACTCAAGCCTGAGGAGCATGAAGCCTGATCGATTGATTTTATCGCTCCCGCGGAAGTCTCTACGTGAAGGCTGCCAGCATCGATGCGGCATCGATTAATATTGCTTGGTGGATGTTGGTGGCCTTCGGTGTCACGGAATGCAACGGAAAAGTCCTCTATGAAATGGAGGCTTCTAGCGAAGATGTTCATTGTTCTTGCGAATTTCCAATTGCAAAATGTTTGTTTTCTATATGTTTGAAGGGCTAAATCATGGACTCTCTTGACCTGAAACAGCGAAACAAATCACTTGGTCAAGGGGTAAAAAGGGGTAAACAAATCCATAGGTGAGTGTATAAACCATTAGTTCGGTGTGTATATTAGTTGATAAACCTACCCCATGATTTTTCTATCCATAGTTAGGTGGGTTTCTAAACCAATTTAGAACTATACACTCCAAATCAGTGAAAAAATGTGGGCTAAATATGGCTAAATCACCACTTGCATACTTCCAGGATGAGTTGCAGCCCAGCTACTCGATGGGAGCACCGGTCAGCTGGGTTATGATGGATTTATAGCTGGTTTAATAGTGGTTCATAGTGGTTAATAGTGGTTGATAGTGCTTAAGAGTGGTTAATAGTGGTTGATAGTGATTAATAAACCCAATCTGGTTGGTGGTTTGGAACATGTGTTATTTTCCAGAATATATGGGATAATCCTTCCCATTGACCAATATTTTTCAGAGGGGTTGAAACCACCAACCAGCAATAACTGGGGCTTTCCTAAGTCATAGGCCCTAGGCATGCCCTCAGTCATCATCCAGTCGTCATGGACCATGACTTCGTATTGAAACCCATAGGTTAAAATGGAATCCCACGTTTAAAAAAAAAAAATACCATCTGGTTATTTAACATTGCCATGGAAAATGGTCCGTTTATAGATGGTTTACCTAATAAAAATGGTGATTTTCCATGGCTATGTTAAATAACCAGATGGTATATTTACCATTAATCACCATCAATAGGGAGTATTGACCATTATCAACCCTTATTAAAACCTGTGATTTTCCATTTTAGGAAACCCCCAATCCATTTCTCTGTAAAATTTGCCCCTCTTGACTCAAACCATTGCCCCATCGCGGTCTGTTCATCCTCTCTGGGATGGTCATGATGGTCATGATGCTCATTGTTCAAGCCAGGAGGTTCTTCGTGTGCAAAAGTTTCCTTCAACACATGCCATGATTATTGGGAATGCATACAGGATGAGGCCCCCCAGTGATGTGAACGTTGGTTTATAAACCATGAATTAATCCCCATTAACTAGTTCGTTGTATCTACCATAAACCATAGAATACAGCCACTTATAAGGCAACTTAGCTATCTTGGGGGCCCTATCCTGTACCAAAGAGAATATAAATAATTTATAGGGATATAACTACATGATATAATGGGGATACATACCATTGATATGATGGATGATGCCCCCAAGATAGCCAAGTTGGTTGTGAAAACTCTAATAACTATAGGACTTATGGATACTTATGTAGATATATAGAACTAGTCACTTGGGTTATAGATAACCAACAATCCTGTGGGGGACCGCATTGTGAGTGTCCAAACGCAACGTGGCGCTTCATTGTCATTTGCTTGAAGGAGAATGTACAGGAAGGGCCCTGCAGTTGTAAGTTGGTTTATAAACGTATCCAACAGTAGATACCCTCTGGTAATTTAACATAGCTATTGACATTGACCATTTATAGTGGATTTACCCATTGAAAATAGTGATTTTCCATAGTTATGTTAGCTTACCAGAGGGTATATCCAATATACATCCCATGCAACATATACTTTGGGGCCCCTTTCTGTAGATTCAACCATGGATTTTCTTACCACAATATAACCGCTTTTCAGAACAGCACTGGATCATATTGAATCATGTTCTATACACAGATGAACACACACGTGTATGGATGTATTTATCATCATATATAATTTTAAAACAATATATATGTATATATGTAATTGAGTATAATATGATATAATGTACTGTAATTTAACATAGTATGATATGATATGATATAAATGATACATGATGACATGGTATACATCATGTTTTACATCATATATATATATATATACATGTATTCATGCATGCATGTAGTAGAAACAATGCATTTTTCTAGATTCTGTAAACAAACAAACACCAGTTGTCCGGCCATCGCTTCGTTTCGCCAGGTCGCAGCTATGAACTGCCAAAGATCCTGGTGACGCTTCTGACGGAGCACAAGACATGGATGGAGGTGCCAACGTTGGCGCCAGCTTTGGCGCATGCAATGGAGTCATGGAGCTTTGAATTGATGGGATCAGTTGAATTTATAGCTGGTTTAATAGTGGTTTTAATAGTGGTTAATAGTGGTTGATAGTGGTTTACTCAAACCCAATCTGGTTGGTGGCTTGGAACATTGGGATGATTTTCCCATATATATATATTGGGAAGAATGATCCCAACTGACTAATATTTTTTTCAGAGGGTTGAAGCCACCAACCAGAGTAATTGGGGAGTCTTTAAGATGTGTTGAAGAAATTATGTTGTTTGAGATGTTGAGAGAATGTGAGCATATAGTGTTGCAAGTCTTGACTGAAGGTGAAGACTTATGATTGTTTACTCTCTTCAAGATGTCGCTCTTGAACAGAACATGTGTTAATCGTGAGTAGCCACTCATCACTCTGAGTTTTTTTGAAAAACGGTGTGCCATGGGACGAACCCAGCGAAAATCAGCATGGTGTTTTGATGAGTTTCTAACTGTCCCCTTGACACATCTTATTGACACTTTACCATACCTTACGATATTCTACCTGTTGACGTTTTTCGGTTACTCCCCTACAAGGTGGTGCCCCCCTAGTTATAAATTGGTTTATAAACCCCATTAACTATAGATATATCACCTATAAACCATAGTCAATGGAGTTATAAACCAACTTAGCTATCTAGGGGGCACCACCTTGTACTTTTCTCAACCTGTTGACGATTTCTTGTTTTTTAATTGTTTCTGCTGTCCCAAGAACTCAGTGCTGTCCCGAAGTAGTTTCCTGACCACTCGTGTTCAGGTGCATTGGATGGAGGAAGACTTTGGACCCGGCACCAAACTACTTGGTGTCGCAGATTGGTTTCAGAAAAAGCTGGGTCAGTCCTCAGCCCAGAGGGTGGAGATTCAGAACGGAGTTCGGAGTTATGGATTGTACGTGCCCACGAAAAAAACGAGATGTTTGTTGGAAAATTAAACGCCATGGATATCATAGGTAGCCTCTGGTAAACTAGCATAGTTATGGAACAATCACTATGTTCAGAGGTAAATCATCTATAAATGGTCCATTTTTCCATAGCTGTGTTAGTGGATCTGCAGGGTTTATATGTATCATAAACCTTAGAAATTGGAGTTTTCTACGCCAACTGAGCTATTTTGGGGGCTCCACGTACTGTACCCAAGATCCATGATCTGCCAGTTGATGGTTCTGTATGCTCATGCAAACCCAATCAGAGTCTAGTCGGAATTATTCTAGTGCAATATTAGTCTGGTTGGTGGTTTCAAACATTTTTTATTTTGCACAATATATGGGATAATCCTTCCCATTGACTTTCATATTTTTCAGAGGGATTCAAACCACCAACCAGTAGTGTTTGTCCTAGAAAACCACACCAAAAGTTGAGTGGCTTATGATGTTCCCAATGATTCAATTGCCATTTAAAAAAATCTTGTTTGCCCCCCATTTTTGGGCAAACCTGTAGCTGTAGCACATTGTTGGATGCGCCCGTCAATATCCCACATAATTAGTATTGTTGGCTGCATCATATGATATCACTAGTTTAGTGAGGGATGAGTCTGGAAGATTATCATCAGACATGGAAAAAGGATGGAAAGGTAAAAACAACTCCTAAAAAAGGGAAAAGACACAACTTTGTTCCCCTAAAACAACTCTTTCCCCCTAAAACGATGGGAAAAGACACTTTTTTCCCCTAAAACAACTCTTCTAAAATTCCCTCCATCCAACCCATGGACTCCAATGTTATTCAAGTTATGTTCACCCACTTAGCTATCATAAATCACCACAACTGGTTGGTGGTTTGGAACCTTGGAATTTTTAATGACTTTCCATGAAAAGTTGGGAATGGAATAATCATCCCAACTGACTTTAACTCCATCATTTTTCAGAGGGGTAGGTCAACCACCAACTAGCCACAAAATCCCATGAAAAAAACACAACGTTTTTCCTGTTTTTGTTTTCCCATCCAGTTATGAAAAAAACTACCTTGGCCAACTCTAATAGGCATAACTGTAATTCCAGTTTGAACAATGGAATACCCTCTGGTTATGTCAAAATAGCTATTGAAAATGGCCATAGAAATAGTTGATTTACCCCTTAAACATGGTGATTTTCCATAGTTATGCTAGTTTACCAGAGGGTATGTATGAATATGTCCCCTTCGATGGAATTGCTATGTTTTCCATCGATGACATTCCAGACCCTACAAAAGCTGAGCCCTGCCAGTTATGTTGGTTCGTCATATCCCCCGAATCAATCCGGTTCACTAAGTGGTATCAGTCAACTTAGCCAAGTATAAAAAATCAACAACTCCATATCCCATGAGCTCCGGATGTTTCTTGGTATAAAAACCCACCATTTTCTTGGTATTAACCCACCATATCCTTGGTATTTCTCTATTTTTTCCAGCGTTTTTTTCCTGCCGATCTGCCAATGCCGCCAAGGCCAGTGGAGGGTGACATGCTGATGCTCCTGGATGATGACCATCATTATTTGCCTCACGCCATAGGTGCCAAGTCCTTGGGCCCAAAGTTCAATGGATTGGATGAAGGGAAATTTTACAGGAAAACCCCATATTTAATGGGAAAATCTATGGTTTCCTGTAAATTTTCCCTTAAACCAATCCATTGAAAAGTTTAAGGGCCCACGGGATGGCGGATTCCTGACTAAAAACCAGCGGCTTCGAGAACTGGGCATTGAGAAAATGGGGTAAAAAAGCTGGTTTGTGGAAAATAACTGTTTTTTTTGGCAAAGTTATGCTGGTGCTTTGGGGCTAGCTTGCTTCAAAACGGGCTTTGTCCATGGTTTGTGTGAACATGTGGTATACCCACAAGAAACGGTCATTGAACATGGGGAATGATCACAGACCAACATTTTTTTGGGGTTACCATATGTTCAGACGAAGCCACGAGGATAATTGGGTTTTATGGCAGTTGCAACAGTTATGGCCCTTTACCAGTTATAAGTACTTATAATCCCATTTATAGAATGTATAATCCCATTTATAACCAGTTATAACTAATAAATGGCCATAACTGAACTATAGTTTGATGAGTGAAACAACAAACCAACAAACATCTGCCTGAAGGCCTCACCTTGGAGGATGAGTTTGGGGGTTCAGGATGGGGCCATCAGTCGAGCTCGCGTTCAGAAACGCTGTAAAAAAAGTGGCTGAATTCTATGGTTTTTGTGGTAGATATAACATGATATAACGAACTAGTCAATGGGGATTCTAATGGTTTATAAACTGTAACCTGTACTATTCAATTCAATATGACATTTCGGAATTTCGGGTTTTGAACGCAGCAAAGGGATACAGTGGATACAGGCTACCCGAAACTCTCAGATAGATGACTTGGATTTCCCTACTAAACGTGTACCCCCACTCCGGGCAAAGCCAGATGGTGTTTTTCTTTGAGCCAACAAAAATGGTGATTCTTCAAAGAGTGCGGGAGTATGGCGCCAACCAGGATGGCACTTAGTGGGGATATCGATTGACCCATGAAAGTGGCAATTTACCATAATTTACCCTCTGGTAATTTAACATAGCTATTGAAAATCACCATTTTCAAAGGGTAAATCCACTATTTCTAGGGCCATTTTCAATGTTAGTTTACCAGAGGCTAATGGATACATTATGACACATTATGATAAACCATCGGATCTGGTGGTGCCCTATTTTCAGACAAAACCCAATGTGTCTAATGGGCTACTACTCAAGTCTCACAGGGGCAGTGCCCACGGATGGATTGGTTTTCTCTAGTTGATTGTCGACAGATCCACATTGACTTGATACTTGTTTCTGCCGTCTTCAATGAATCACAGCTAATGTCAACCCCGGATGAGACTAAACCATGGTTTATCAATTAGGGGGTATTCCTCTCAATAGTCATAATATGTCATAATCTGATACTTAAATGGTATCCCCCCAATCAAACAACCTAGGGGTTTATTAATCCAGGGTTGACATTACTTGTATATTCAGGAGTGATACTCGTATCCTCATGATTGCGAGTCGCGATTTGTTAGCATGTTGGCATCAGATATACGTCAGCATCCAGTGATTTTTCCAGTGCCATTTCAACAGCTGGTAGTTTTCACTCGTTTGTCTGAAAATGTGGGATGCCCCACATTTTTTTGGAACGTTTATATGGAAAACATGATGATAATCCCATTGGTAGTATCCCATTTTTCAGGTCTCAAAACCTTTTCTTTCCACATGTCACAGGCGACCTATGGCAGAGGCAACAGTCCCTGGGCGTGGGTTGCTTGACCCACTTGAGAGGATGCTGAGATCCGCGTGAGACTGACCCATATAATATATATATATATGTGCAGTATATATTTTACACATGTATATTCTATGTATATATATATACACAACATATATACGTGTTTTTTTTTTAAACATATCCAATTGGTTTGCTGGTATCAGTTTTGTGTTTCTTGATATCAAACAAAGCGCTGGTATAGTAAAAATCATGTTGATTATGCAAGCTCGTTGTTTCAGTTTGAACACATAGCACTTTGGTCTCAAGCAAAATGGCTGGGCACGTTTCAACCGTTAATTGTTCAGAATCTGCACATTTTCCCACTAGGCTCAACACGCCTAAGAGTCATGTAAAGCAGCTTTCCAGGCTCACCATTGAATGTGTTTCAGGTTGGTTGCCAGGGTACGCATAGATATGGAGGTTTCCTGAAATAGGGGTACCCCCAAATCATCAATTTTAATAGAATGTTCCATTATGAATCATCCATTTTTGGGGTATCCTCCATTCATGGAAACCCTCATATACAGAGAAATCGAGAAAACCAGGAGCTTGCAGCTTGAGCGCTCGACCCTTCGGCATGTTTTTTTGGGCGCTCAAACTGACGGAGCTGAGGATATGTGAGCTCCTTCTTCGCTTATTTTTTTCGTTGGCGCCCCAGATCCAGATCTGGATGTGATACACATGAAGGATCATGGGGACCCCAGTGGGGGATGTAAGCATAGCAAATACCCCATCTGGGTTTCGTATGGATTATATATACATATATACATAGGGTAATATTTATACATATACATTTCTATATATATATATATTTGTGCTGTGCATATATACAACACAGCACATGTTCTTTTTTTGGCTGATAAAGCTATGGTGTTTCAAGCCATTCCCAACTTCAGGTGGCATCATGGTCCCGCAGGGAGCAGATATCGTTGCCCTGCCGCCCTGGAGCCAAGAACTGGTCACCGCCTGAAAGATGTCTTCCATAGAGGGGGCCTCACATTGTAGATGGCCCAATTATATCCCATATTATATCCCATATATATATACACTATATATTATATATAGTATATATATATATATATGTATATACATATATATATATATCATATACTATACATATATATATATATCCCAAAAAGTGTCGAAATAGATACACTTCCTAATTTCAGACATTGACAAATTGGCTTTGTCACAAGGCTGGAGTTCTCCACGCTAAGAAGTCTCCAAGACTTCCACAGGCCCATCGTGACGCGGTCGCTGTGTGTTGGTTGGTTTAGAACCTCTTCCAACTATAGAACATTCATGTATATATATAGATATATATATATATATACACATCGGTACATATATATATATATACATACATACATGCATGCATACATACATACATATATATATACATATGCTATAAGACAAGTTGCATGCGTGCATTCATTATTTGACATTCAGGACAAGTTTGACAGTACCATGTGCAAAACCCTGCGGTGTCCTCAGCTTGAACCGCTCCATGCGTTTCTTATGTCAAAGAGCTAGAGCAGGAACAAAGGAAGAACACAGAGGGAAGATCTATGAAGATCTACTGTAATCAACTTCATAAGAAATTATACAAGAGTAAACCTATAATTATCATTGCCTATAACAAACAATCACTATAGGTTGGATAAATAATTATATAATGATTATTCTTATGAAATAATTATCAATCAACTCATTATCCTCAATAACAAACAAGATTAGAGTTGGAAGATCTATACGAAACACATGTAACTTATGTTGCACCGAGACATCCGCCACGCATTTTCAGGCGTTTCGTACTGGGTGATTCTGCTGCATTCCTGGTCGACGACCTCTGGCCGCTTCTGCAAAAATTGGCGGTGATTTTTTCACATCATTTAACTGGAGAATTCATGAATGATGTCAACTATTTGGTGAATTATTTGGTAAACTAACATAACTATGGAAAATCACCAAATAGTCATTTCATCTGATACTTTTTTATGGTACCCTCCCTTTTTTTAACAGCCGTAAACGGGGTTTATTAATCCAGGGTTGACATTAATGGATAATCAATATACTTATTCAATCTTATTCATGGTTAATGAGAATAGACTTATTATATATCTTGAATGGTGATTGAACTGGAGAATGAGATGATAGCATAATGGGATAATAGGATTGTCGATGGATTCCTTAAGGCTTATTCATAGGATTTCATGTTATACTTGGTCCGGGCTTTCCTCAAGCAAATTCAAGTTTAACATCCGGATTTTCAACATCAAAATTGGTTGGTGGTTTGGAACCATGGAATTTTATGACTTTCCATTCAGTTGGGGGTGTCATTTTACACCAACTGACTTTAACTCCATTTTTCAGAGGGGTAGGGTTTAACCACCAACCAGAAAAATATGGGAGTATGTCTGGTTGGGAGTTTCAACGATGTACCCTCTGGTAAACATACAAAAAACTATAGAACATCACCATTTTTCATGGGACAACTCACTCTTTCGACTGGGCCATTTTCAATAGCAAACTGAAAACGATTGCCAGAGGGTATTATAGTTCAACCAGACTGAGGATGATTGGTGATGACAAGCATATTTTCTTAGTGGTTCGTTTTACGCAGGGAATTTTCGGGAATGATCCACTGGCGAACTATCAATTTCATCATCCCAGCAACCCCCAGCAACCCATCCAGCAACCCATCCAGCAACCCTACGTAAAACGCACCAATAAGTTTTTCAGATGGATTTAGTGGATTTGCACCACCAAGCGGCTGGTTATTATCTTTGCTCCTTGGTCTTGGATGATTCTATTGGGTTAAACATGGGTTAAACCATGAAAAATGTGCTTTGCTGAACCGGCAAGAATTTGGCAACAATTCGGTTATACATGATTTTGGAAACATGATTGTTACTCACAAGAATTTGGATTTGTAAATCATTGTTACATGATTGTTTCCATGATTGGTTATAAATCCTGGAATCAACCCACAACATGATTGTTTTTTTTTGGGTTCTCACACCTGGGGATTTAACCATCAGGTGTCAACAATCAAAATGTGGGGATATCAAACAGATACCCTCTGATAAACTAACATAGCTATGGAAAATCACCATTTTTAATGGGAAAATCCACTATAAATGGCCATTTTCAATAGCTATGTTAGTTTATCAGAGGGTAAATAAATAGCTGATGGTTGTGATTTGTCCTGGGGTTCCACGACATATTTGGGAGTTTCAAAATCAGCTGGGAATCCCCATCAAGAAACCATATAGTTTACGGTCAGTACCAGGGTGGGTTTGTGCAAATCCTGAGTCATCCTGAGCTGTCTGGTAGGGTAGCATTTTACTAGCAGATTACATAAAAAAAAAAACAAATCTCACTGGAGGTTAGCCTCCTGATTCTCAATCAACCAGGATTTATTACTCTCGGATTACTGTACCTTTAGGCATGGTACCCCTAAATCTGTTGGTCAATCAAATTTACTGTATGTTCTGCTCAAATTGGCATTTTGGAGGTTTTCAAACCACTTTCAGATATGCTATGGTTTGAAAACAGGCTACCCAGGAAAACTCATGGATCAATCATCACATTGTCCCTATTAACATGAACATTTATAATTTATTCATAGATAGACCCCTTCTATTCAGATAAAGCCATATGGGACTGCCTTAACTACAGATAGATTCACCATAAATCCTAGTGATTGGAGTTATGAACTTTATAAACCAACTTAACTACAGATAGATTCACCAATATTCACCAGAAACCCTAGGTATTGGATGTTAAAGTCAGTCTTTAAACCAACATTACCATTTGGTTATTTAACATAGCTATGGACCATTGCCCATGTATAGATGGTTTACCCTCTGGTAATTTAACATAGCTATTGAAAATGGCCATTGAAATAGTGGATTTTCCCATTAAAAATGGTGATTTTCAATAGTTATGTGACAGTTTACTAGAGGGTACCTATTAAAAAATGATGATTTTCTATGGCTACGTTAAATAAACAGAGGGTAACTAACTATGCCCCACCTGTCAACTGTTAACCTGGGATCAAGGCTGAAGAGTCACGGGTTGAGAGTGAAACGTCGTTTAACATGACAAAAGTGGTTAGTGAATATGGTTATATCTTTAGTGTACATTACTTAAACGTATAATATGATATAATATAACATAATATAATATGATATGATATAATATATAATATAATATAATATAATATAATATAATATAACATAACGTAATATAACATAACGTAATATAACATAATTTAATATAATATGATATGATATAATTTAATATAATATAATATAATATAACATAATATGATATAATATAATATGATATGATATAATATAATATAATATAACATAATATAATTTAATACATTATAATATGATATAATATAATATAATATAATTATATATATATATGTATATGTATACATACAGACAATAATCTAATATTCTTGATGGATACACCAGGTGTGTCAACATGATATTTTTATTGTAGCTCCCCAAGACGACGAGCAGGTGAGCATTTTAGCCAAGACGAGTGTGGCAATTTTTGGAGATGTAAACTAGTCTGGCTACCTGCTGGTTCAATATGTTAATATGTTCAATCCCAAAAACAACTGAATTACCATCTGGTTATTTAACATAGCCATGGAAAACCCTTATAAATGGAGGTTTTAATGGGAAAATAGTCTATAAATGGGCCATTTTCCATGGCTATGTTAAATAACCAGAGGGTAGTTATAAGTTATACAGTTATACCCCTAGTTGTTTGAGTAGGGGAAGAGAAATGTTCAGTTCTAAGTGTCATGTGGGAAAGCCAATACTAGACCTACCCCTTAGATCCATTTAGGGGATGCTTAAAAAACCACGGCGACAAAAGGGGTATGAGGCCGCCACTCTCAAGCGAGGTGCGCGATGTTCTACTTCCTTCGTGGGAAGGAAGTGCGTTCCTTCCGCGAAGATGTGATTGCGAGGACACGCGGATGGAAAGGGATCAGGCATGATGTCCGGACACATGGAGAAATCTTGAGTTTACAATATACATGATGGGGCCCCCTAGATTCTTAGATAGCAAAGTTGGCTTATAACTAGGATAACTTGGGTTTATGATGGTTCATGGCAGTTATAAGTATAACTATAGTTAGATGGGTGTATAAACCAACAAACACCGGGGGGGCCACAATTTAGATATACAGTATTATATATATATATACATAGAGATAGCCAGACAGACAGACAGACAGACAGCCAGACAGATAGACAGACAGACAGACAGACAGATAGACAGACAGACAGACAGATAGATAGATAGATATGAATCTGTACATTTGAGAAACATCATGAATTGCATCGATGTTTCCAGAGTTTCTGGTCCTTGTTTGGTCACATTTTCAGTTAGCTCTTGACCTGCCGTACCAAAGGGTTGCCAAGATGGTCAAAATCCATGGGGGTTAGCCCATGAATGATCATGTTGGTAGGAGAAACGGCTGTTTTATGGCTTTCTAAATGAGCAATGGCAATTATACCGATGGTGTTTATCAATGATCATTTGTCACATATTCTTTGTTGGGGGTGATGGTTTAATGGGCTAATGTTTCCTCTTAGATTTGCCAGAAATTGGGGTCCCAGTCGTCCCCCATTGATAGAGCCACCTTGAGGATGCAGACATGTGCAGGAAGGAAGCCTAAACGATAGGTTTCTGTTGCTTTACAACTAGTTTCACTGAAGTTTTCGGTAGATGTACTGTACATATCTGTACATACTGTAGATTTATGAACTTGCAAAATTGCAAGTTTTTTTTTCCTAGAAAAATGTACCTTTCGAAATCAACAGTGCCATGAAGTCGTCATTTTTGGACCACATTGATTTCTGTGGTCCCTGTCAGATGCACTGGAGATCGCCGCAGGGGATTGGAGACCATCTACACTCGAACGGCCAATGCGTCAGTGGACTTCTCAGCCGTTGGATGTGACTTTCGTGTCATCATTTTTGTGGTGGTTGGTTTCTGAAAAATCACCCATTTTCAATGGGAAATTCAGGATCCGATTTATTAGAGGTACCTACCATATATAAGGCCTATTTTTCAGGGCTATGTAAGGGGATATCCTCCCAAAATGTGGCCAACAATATGGTATACGTACCTCCATGTATTGGATCCTGGAATTCCCATTGACATTACAAGATGTTTTGTTTCATGTTCTATCCAGTGGTGAATTTGAGGGAGCGAGCGAGCTAAGGAGCGATGGGGAGCTTCATATTCCCAAGAAAAAATGGGCAGCCCGTTGGAGCTACAAAGAGTGTCCCAAGCACATTTTATCATTTTTGTGGAGGAAAATCATTGATTTTCATGGATTATTCGAATGATTATGAATGAATACATGAATGAATGCTGGATGTTTGTCGACCGGAGGCTGGTCTCAGACGTTTTAACCGATGTTCGGTGTGTTGAAATCTGATGGTCCACGCACGGCATCACGGATTCATGAAGGGAATCAGCTGAAACCATGGGGGATGGGGCACCGATCTGGAGGTTGAAGCCTTAATGGACCTGGAGGGTCTGTGGCTAAGGGCGTGGTGTCTGCTGAAATTCAGGATACACGACTATGATATTAAAATATATTAGATGTAGAATCGTATACTGTCTCGAAAATCTATTATAGAATCAATTTATCAAACCAAGCTCCCCCAGAGGTGATAATGGTGATGGCTTGTTAACCAACAGCACTCAGGGCATATCTTAACCAGCTATCATTGGGGGGACCTACTGAGGTTACTGTACTCGCTCATGCCGCGAATCGTCAATGCGTCAACCGCTCACCAAGTGATATATATAATTACTGTATATATATAAATATACATATATATGAATATATATATATATATATTATCTTGGATAAATTAAACTACGGTAAACCTTGGTTTTACATGGTTTCTTCAGAGTGAAATATGTGCAATGTGTGCAGTTTACCCCCCAAAGACGCCGACAATTGTGCCACCAGGTTGTCATAAGTTTTGTTTACCTATTTTGGGGTTGCGAAAGAACTGAAGAACCACGATATATGTTTAAGGTATACATCCACATGATATCTACAATATATCCTCGATATCGTCGCTTTACTATTCCAGATGTATATGATACAAATTGGCAATAGATACAGATGGAATAACATAATACTCAACAAGTCTATAGTTATATTGATGTTCCATATTACTGGTGGATGATATCTCGGTATGATTTCATATGTATTTCACAGGTCTATGAATTATTACTATTATCCCATTTTACCGGTGGTTGATATCCGATTCATATGTATCCCATTACTTATGTATCATCTTTCCATATGGCCATGAGTCAAAATTACCACCAAATTGTTTTTTTTTCGCCTTTGACTTTAGTGCTGTGTCACAGCGGTAGAGACAACCAGCTACGTTACGCGTGAAAAACCCCAAATTAGATGGTTAATACAGGATGGGGCACCCAAGATAGCGTTCATTTGCCTTATAAGTGGCTGAATTCTACGGTTTATGGTAGATATAACGAACTAGTTTTCATAGGGATATGTTATGGTTCAAAAAGACCAACGTTCACATCACTGCGGGGGCCCTCTTTTCTGCACATCCAAAATGCACCGAACAGAACGGTGGTTCCCTGGGGGAATTTTCAGGCACAGCGCGGCGTGATCGCGCCATGCTTCAATGCTTCCAGGGTGAGCCCAAGTAGCGAACCAGCTGTCCTGATGCAACAAACATTGGAAAATGATGGGAAAATGGGGTAATGTGGTTAAAACAATGCCATGTTTACCATCCCCAAGTCATCAGCATTTTTATGGGTGGTAGACCATCAAACATGGGGCGGTTTATGGTTGTTTGAACCACATCATACCCTCCGAAAAAAATGTTTACAGTATATGGGATTCCCTGGAGTTGGAATTTTCAGAGAAAGCCACAAAGAAAAGAAACCTGGTTGGTGGTTTGGAACATGGAATTTTAATGGATTTTAATGGATTTTTCCATCATATTGGGAATGTCATATCCCTAAGCGGTGTTCAAAAATAAAATCAAGGGGCTTGAGCCCGAAATATTTTTAAATTTATTTTTCAAAAGGTGCTTATCATAAGTTTTGAGTAAGTCAGACCCCTATGATTTTATTTTTGAGACATGGGTCAAGACCAAGAACCAACCCCAATGCAGCTGGTGGAGTAGCTTTAGGTTGGGTCCCTTTGGTTTTATTTTTGCGTTTTGCTTACCTTTTTGTTTTGTTGGAACATGTTGGAACACACCTCTTGTGTTGGATTTGGTGGACAAGACATGATGAAAACAATGGCTATCACGCCACAAAAAAGAAAAAACTATGGATTGTGATTACCTGATTACACCATTCTGCTTCTACAAAGCTTGAAATACATATTTAAAAACTGGGTTTGGATATGTTTGGATTCAATATTTGATAGATTTTGGGGAAAATAAAATCCAAGGTTCCCAAGCTTGTAGAATTTTGTTGGGTAGTATGGTTGGAATATATTGAATCTATGCTTTGTTTGGTGGTCACTATTGTTTGGGCAGAAAAGGATGCAGCCAGAACACGCCACAAAAAAGAAAAAAAACTATGGATTGTGATTACCTGATTACACCATTCTGCTTCCACAAAGCTTGAAATACATATTTAAAAACTGGGTTTGGATATGTTTGGATTCAATATTTGATAGATTTTGTTGAGATTTCAGATGATTTCACAAACACAGATGCTGACCTTGAACCCTTCAGTTTTATTTCTGGAACATTTTGGATGCTGGCTTGGAACCTTCTTGATTTTATTTCTGGAACCTCTTGATTTTATTTTTGCAAACCCCTCAGTTGGATGACTGATGATACTGATGATTTTCTCTTTGCGCAACATGTGGGGTTGAACTCCCCTGATGTCATTTTTGCATTTTGGGGGTCAGTAGCCTGGGTGCCCTTGATTTCATTTTATTTTTCAGGGGTTCAACCCCATCTGGGTGCACCACAAGGGGATAATGTCATCATCCCAACTGACGAACTCATATTTTTCAGAGGGGTCGGTCAACCACCAACCAGATGGATATGGCTATGGCTATGATGAGACACTGGTATGAAAAATATGGATAGCAGCTACTGGCGGTGGCGCCCCCAAGCAGTTAGAAGTTGCTGCTCCTTTTACCTTAAGATATATCTACCATATTCGCTAGTTATTGAAGTCATCAACCAACTTAGCTCACAAACTGGAACACCTGTATCATTCTCAATCTTACTGGTAAAATTATTTATATAGATATGGCTATGAGTCAAGATGTTCAAAACCTTTAATTCCGTGTACGTGTAAAGTGATGAACATCCATTTACCAGCTATTTTGATATTCACCAGGGTACCAGGGTTTCCACTCATACCCATGTAAACGATATTGATACAAAGTGACCCACCCAGTTAAGCCTGTTGCTTTATTTTCCACCATTTAACTGTAGATATGTAGATACAACTGTATACGCGTGTATATAATTATACAGAATGATGTACGTATATAATTACATATATATATATATGTGCACATATATATATATATGTATGATTATTAATGTATATATATATATACAATATATATATATATATTATATTATATGGTTACACACACACAGAATCCTCTAGATCCAACACAAATCCGAGTGAGCGACCATGGGATTTTATTCGACGAACCCAGTGGTAGAATATCTTACAATGTGGCCCCCCCCCAATTATAAGTTGGCTTATAAGCCACAGTAACTATAGTTATAAGCACCATAAAGCATAGATATTGGAATTATAAACCAACTTAGCTATCTTGGGGGCCTCACATTGTAGAATATCTTAGAATATGTGCATACTTCAAGATTAGGAAACACCTGCTGGTTTCCCGGAACAGACATTTCTGTGCAATCCTATCGGTCCTATCTCCTCGGTGTGACAAGAAGCCACAACATCAAATGGTTGGGAGTCACTCCGCCAGGTGACCTAAGTGACCTCCAAGAAGGGTTTATTAAGATTGATTAAGGGTATATGAAGGGTTTATGATGGTTTATGAATACAACGAGCCACAAAAAAAAGCGTTTAGACTCCGTTGAGATACAAAGCCATCGTTTGGGGGATCAGCGACCCGATCGATCCCCAGAAATCATCCCAAAATGGCCGCAAGTTTCACGTTAGATCATAGCTTGTCCAGATGGATTTGTTATGGCCTGATTTTATAGTGATTCTATTCATTTAAGTGTTTTGGATTTGAGAAACCATCGTTGGATCCGACAATGCAGACGGACTTGAGAAGAACTCTGGATGAACACAGACACCCTTGACAGGATTTGGTCTTCGTCTTGAGATAGGACTTCGCAGATACACACACTTGTTGAATTGGAAGAGAAGGATACACAGATTAACTTCGTTGTGAAACATAGCATCATGGTGCATGGTTGTTTTTGCCCTTAATCCTGCGAAGTTACTTCCAGTGTCAGAGTAGTATGAAATTGTACTATACTGACTATACATCTATGTCTATTTCCAATATCATCAATACATGTATATATATATACACATAGATTCGCAAAGTCATCTAACAATGTGAGGCCCCCAAGATAGCGTTCAGTTGGTGCACATAACTCCAATTTCACTATGGTCTATGGTACGTAAATAACTATAGTTACTGGGGCCACATTGTAACAATCTTGCATTAAACATCCAAGCGATTTCTACAGCAATGGATCCATGGATTCGTCGGCAAGTCGGACTCCGCCGCCTGTCGGCAGCCAGGTTTGCTGCATCGTCTTCTTGCTGCAAGCGATGGTCTGTGCCCACAGGAACTTAAAGCAGGATACTTACTGGGTCAATCTTAGATGGATAGCAAATAATCCTAACTAGTCTTTTGTTTTTTTGATGGGAATATCTACGTTCACCAGCAAAGAAACTATTTTTTGCAGGGCATCTAAGACTGGCAATGGATACCTTGGAGAGGTGGCAAGTGAAAAAAGTGGCTTTGGTACTTTAAACAATTGGGGCAGACCGGCAGACCATGGAAGGCCCAATTCAATCCCATGTTTTTTGTCATCATGCAGGGGGTTCCATAAATGTTGGTACTCCCAAATGGATGGTTTAGCATGGAACATACCATTAAAATGGATGATTTGGGGGTACCTCTGTTTCAGGAACCCCCATGTTCCATATTGTTTAATAGCATTTGCATGTTGTTTTTCGAGGTGCATAGCTGGCATTTGCTGCAGCTGTTTATGGTTCTTTTCGGGTGTCCCACAAGAGGACGATTTGTTGTTCGATGGAGCCGAATTGGACGGCTTCTTGGTTTGATTACCCTTAAACGTTTACATCGATGATCATAGATATGGGCAAAAACATAGGGAACCATGGGGAAAGCCATTCGGAGCATGATCTACATACATGGTGGGTTTTCCACATTGGTTTCAGAGGGTTTCTCCATTTATTTAAGTGGGCCTTTTTGTGGGAATGCAATCATCAGGTCCTGGGAAGGGATTGGGGCAATTAACAGGTTTGGTGATGATTAAACTGATTTTGCTGTGGTAAACCCAATGCCATAAACCATCCCCAATGACTTACCCAAAATGGATTCTAAACATAAACCCGAAATGGTAGGTTTATTGTTAGGTTTGCTGCATTAAAGATGCTTAAACTATGGATTTTGGGGGCACCCTATTTTCAGACAGAACCATTTTTGATGAATGTAGAAATGCCCACGTGTAGTAAATCTTAGTATTGGCTGGGAACATGCTTTCGGCATAAGATGTAATCATGTGCGTACATATATATATATACATATAAGTTATATAAGTATATATATATACACATGTTGTTCAATTATTGTTTTTTAATGTCAAATATGACCTATTTGATATATTTTTGTCTACATCCACCTTCCTCACTTAAACAAAATCCCTTCCCCTTTTTGGTTTCAACAGGCAGTGAGCGGCATCCTGGGAGCCATCGGTGTGGCCTGTGGAGCATTTGGGGCACATGGTCTGAAGAGCTACACCAGCGACCCATCACTGCTGGAGTCCTGGAAGACGGCCGCGTCGTATCAGATGCTCCACGTGCCATGCTTGGGGGATGATGGGTTTCTCCGAAAGGAATGGTTAATTAACCAAGAATAATAAAGGGATGGGATTTGTCATGGGATTATAGTTGATTTATAGTAGATTTCCAGATTTATAGTTCAAATAGTTGATTTATGTCAGCCATAATTGATTTGTACCCTGTGCTGTTCTCACCATCAGACAAAAAAATATCTGGGGAACGAGTGTGCACATGGTCGCAACTTCAAACAAGGATAGAAATGCCAGGACTCGTTTAAAGGTTTGTGCAGCTGGTCATGGACTACATTCCAGTGAACTTGCGGCTGCCTTAATATCACGTCTTCAATGCCTATGACAGGACGACTCTTATTTGGGACATGTTCAGTGTACCTTTGAAGGAAGCCCTCCAACCATTTCCTGCTAATCAGGTAATCATTCGCACTGGCATCCACAAGATTTGTAGGCACATCCATGTTTTTCATTGCTGGTGCTGGTTGAGGCAGTCATGGTTGGCCTCTCATCTCTGAATGGTAAAGGCCATGCTCCCAAGCTCTTCTCGTTGGGCTGCTTGTGCTTCAGTGGAAGCATTTACGGCTTGGTCCTGTTACCCAAGGGCCACAGCTTGCGAAAGCTGCTGGGTCCAGTGACGCCACTGGGAGGTTTGCTCTTCATTGCCGGATGGCTCTCAATGGCCTGGAATGCCAAATCAAGCCCGCGACGGTAGAGGGACGAACAACACCAAAACATCTGCGGAAGAAAAAAAATGAGGATCAAATCTGGATGGATAGGTAAGATGGATAGTTCAACTATGTGCAACTGATACTTCTGTTTCATGTTCTGTATGTCTAGTACAACTTCATTAATGTTGCCAAAAACTTTTTGCTGTACATCGGGGAGATACTGATGTAACCAGCAAAAAACAAGGGCTATCTGAGGTTATCCGTGGGAGGCCGGGAGTTCGAGCATCAAACTGGGCCAGGCTGGTGCTAACTTAGCTGCACCCAGGTAGCACGATTTTTTGCCACGGAAATCACTATTTTGAATAGGGAAATCATCAGAAATCATCTATAAATGAACCATGTTGCAGAACTATGTCCTGTAACCGGAGTGTATATTAGGCAGATGTTGTTCCACATGTCAAAATTCAGAACTTCTTGCTGTGCAGAACTATGAGAGTGTAGTGCGTCTTCCTACTCCTTGATGTCAAAAGATGCACAAAATCATCAAAATGTATTTGTAGAGTGTTTTGATATTTATGTATCTTGACTTTTTATCAATAGTATATCATGTTTTGGAAGTCAATATGGAAAGATACACCAAATTGTTTTATATACTTGTCTTTTCTTGATATTGACAATGCACATCATCGTAATAAACCGTATCCAATCAACGTTTATTTCCCAACTAAATATCTTAATTGGGGTGGTTGTCCCAACTAAATATCTCTCAGGAACGTCGAGATGAAACGCCATAAATACAAATGGGTACAAGTTGGCACCCCTAGATGAATATATCCACCATAAACCCGAGAGTTATTGGAAGTATGATGAATTTTGAAAAAACACTTAGCTAACATATATATATATAATATTATATAAATAATATATATATATATTATATAATATTATATATAATTCACATACATAAATCCCTCATGTTGGTCGATGAAATCCCTATGTTTTTGTTGTTAAAACACCACTTTCAGGTCTCGCATTTGGAGGTGAAATGGCAGCAGGGTCCTCAGCAATTTCCATCGGAAGGTGGTGCCGTTGGTAAACGATACGCCGAAAAGGTCAAACAAAAATCACCTACAGTTATGGCCCGAAATACCAGTTATAAGTACTAACAGCTCACCCCATTTATAGAATGTTTCTCATCCCATTGTAACTCACTAATAGATGGCCATAACTGTAAGAAATTGGGGAGTTGATGGAATTATGTGTGATTTACGATGACAACAAGTTGGTGTCCCCCAACAAAGAAAACCGGTGGGCACCACATTGCAATGTTGCGACCCCCATGTCCATGATCACCTCATGACATTCTGGTTGGTTTATTAGGGGTATTTAAAAATCCCCAATAAGGTGCTAGTAGTTTTCCCCCAGTTTATAAGCAATCAAGAGTGTTGCATTTTTGATAGCTCATCTTAGGATACTGGTAAGCCACCGTGGTTTAGAAAAAGGTTCATTGGGAATGGGACTGCGGTGGGTTCAAAGAAACTATAATGAATGATATATCCATGTGAAACATATGCATGTAGCATTCCTCAAACAGATAGAAGTTAGTAACATCCTTCTAGATTAGACAGGCACATTCCTGTTCTATCTTTTGTTTGGGTTGCTACATTGTGTTGACTATATGAGACTATATGTTTCCCTCATTGCACAGAGAAGCAGAACCCATGGATAATGTTTGGTAATCAAACGTGGCAATGGAATATATATGATTTATAGACAATTTTCCTATTCAAATGCATGTTTATAAGGAAATTCCCATTGCCGTATTTGACTACCGGAGGGTAGTTACGTTTACTTTGGGACACTTGTTTCCCTCTATGAAAAGCTACTGATTTTGATGGAATCCTCCTTTATTAAAGGTAACAAATCCCATGATTCCTGCCAATCAATTTAATTCACCTAGTTAGATTATTAGATGGTTGATTAATCAATTCAGTCCAGTTTCATTTATATAATCCCCTCCTGCTAATCTGAAATACCCTCCTAGACTCCCTGATTTAGTATTGAATCTATTCATTTTGGGGCCCATATGGGAACACATCGGATGCTAACCACTTACGATTCCTCTTGAGGCTAGATATATGATGATATATGGCTTGGGTCATCGGGTTAGATTAGTAGGCTATAATATACTATAAACCGCAAAAATATACCATTCTGAAATGCACATCCAGGGTGCGTTTTTTAACCAAGATATCCCACAGATATTCCCAGATATCCCCAAGTGCTTCCAAGTCATATACCCTCTGGTAAACCAACATAACTATGGAAAATCACCATGTTTCATGGGTCAATCAACTATAGATGATTATAAATGTGCAATTTGCAATAGCAAACTGCAACAGTTTACCAGAGTGTACCAATGCTTTCCAATGATGTACCCGTCATTTCGCCATTTTTTTGCCACGTTGAGGTGATGCGCTTGCGACGTTTGGCCCAGGCTTATGATGCGGCTTTTCGAACAGAACCATGGAAAATCAGCAGTGTAAAAATTGGTTTCCTCTGCAGTTATGGCCCTTTACCAGTTATAAGTACTTATAACCCCATTTATAGAATGTATAATCCCATTGTAATAACCAGTTATTAATAAATGGCCATAGCTGTGGTAAATTAACATAGACCCTGAACATTGTCATTGCTAAATGGTGAATAATTGATATTGATGGTTAATAATGGTTGATAATGGCTAGAACAATTCTTAACTCTGGTTATTGATGGTTAATAATGGTTAATAATGGCTAGAACAATTCTTAACGGTTATTGATGGTTAATAATGGTTAACAATGGCTAGAACAATTCTTAACTATGGTTATTGATGGTTAATAATGGTTAATAATGGCTAGAACAATTCTTAACTATGGTTATTGATGGTGAATCATGGTTTATAATGGCTAGAACAATTCTTAACGGTTATTGATGGTGAATCATGGTTAATACCATCTGGTGAATTCACAGTTTGACCCTGAAAATAAGCCATTGTTTAGTTGAAACTCATCTTCCAACCCCTAGCCAGGGTCGAAGTGTTACTGGAGGGTAACGAAAAAAGAACTCAATGGCCATTTTCAATAGCGAAGTGTTAGTTTACCAGAGGGTAGATGGTTAGATGATGTTAGATGGTTAGTAATATGGGATCTAACATGATCTAACTACATGTCTAATGATGGTTAATTGGATGGTTAATTGCTATACTCCGTCCAGTTTACGACGTTTACGAAGCTGAACGGGGAAAGTGATGACAAACAGCTGCAGTTTGTTCCATGGTAATCCAACACGGCTTGAAGATCCTTATTTTTTTGTTTGATTTGTTCCATGTAAACCATCCATTTAGTTCCAGGATTTCCCAATGCTCCCATGTTTGATTCCCCAAATATCATATTATTGGTTGGTGGTTTGGATCATGAATTTTATGACTTTCCATTCAGTTGGGAATGTCATCCTCCCATTTGACGAACTCATATTTTTCAGACGGGTAGGTCAACCACCAATCAGCAATTTTATGCTTCCCCCAGTGTCCCCCAGTTATGTTTGTTGGTTTGTAAACCCCATTCATCATGGATATATCCACCAGAAACCCACATTATAGTTATAAAATGTTTTAAAACAACTTAGCTGTCTAGAATCAAACCATAAACCCACTATGGTTATATATATGGTTATATTTTTCAGAGGGGTAGGTATACCACCAATCAGCATAGTATTGGTTGCATATATCCCATGATCTTACCATTGGATGTTTATCAATCAGTCTGGGGCCGGTCGAACTTATCCATAGACCCATTGTGTTATGCTTATTGTATTGCTTATGACAGTAGGATTGCAATTAAATACGAAAAAAACAAAACTTATGACTATGTAATGATATATATATATATATAGATATATAGATATACATATATATATATATACACGCATAACCTCTATATACCATATGGTGGAATAAGCAGTATATATATATATATACACACGTATCATGGTATCATACATGCTAATAGATATTAATATTAGATATACTAATCATATATATATATATTATATACACATAATATATTGTGTTACTATTTTTTATCGAATGCGCAATGCTTGGGCTCCCGCAGGAAGTGCATCAAGCAGATCGGCGGATCGATGAGTTGAAGCCTGAGCGCAGCGCAGTGAGAAATGTCGAGATCCCTTGGTGTTGATTGGTACATATACATGTCTGGTTGGTGGTTTGGATCATGAATTTTATGACTTTCCATATATTGGGAATGTCATCATCCCAACTGACTTTCATATTTTTCAGAGGGGTTCAAACCACCAACCAGCATGTTATTTAGTATTGTACAAGGACAAATTTGGGTATACGGTATATTGTACTATTAGTGAATGTCATTTAATATCATTTTATATATTCTACTATTGTAAATTTGGGTATTAATTACTATATCTAATGGTATTTTAGGTGCAATAATATTCATGGTGATTGATTACTCGCTACAAGCTGCATACAATCAATTTGGGTGCCCTCCAACCATTGGCTGTTTCCCCACTACAAATGAGCAAGTTTGGATGATTTGGGATCCCAATAGCAAGAAACAAACAGTTTTCAAAAACGTAGGTTTGAACCATCAAGTATATGGTGATACTTGATAAATGTTGGTTGGTTGACATGTTTCCCGGGAATATACGGGTACAGCCCAAAGCAACATATATATAATATTATATAATTTAATTTAGTTTAATTTGATATGTTATAATATAATTTAATATAATATGTTATAATATAATAAAATATAATATAGTATATATATATACATATATATATAAATATAAATATGCATATATATATATATAAATATAAATATGCATATATATATATATATATATATATAATATTAAAGATAGATAAATGTTGTTGATCATCATAATTCATAAACTGGGAATTTCCCATCAACCGAATGAGTTTCCTTTCTTTGAATGCGCGGCTCAGGTGGAGATGTGGACATAATGCTGGGGTGAAACTCCTCCCAGTTGCATTTGTTGCTTCAGTTTCAGCCATGAACCTATGGTTCTATTCCCCATGCAACCATAGCTAAATCTCCATTTGAATCTCATTATACCCTCCGGTAAATAAACAGTTTGACCCTGAAAATAGCATTTTTTTCATGGTTTCACTAGTCTTCCAACCCCGACAACTGCCAGGGTCGAATTGTTAATTTACCACAGGGTAGATGATTTTCCCATTCACATCCTCATTTACAGAGGATTTCCCGGTTGCCACGTTTGATTTTTCGCTCGGAGGGTAGCTCTAAATGATGACTAGAGGTGGCAAGGTTCGACAAAAGGTGGTGCCCCCCAGTTGTAAGTTGGTTATAAACCCATGATCTATTGATATATTTACCATAAGTCCAACTTTTTTTTGAGCTATGTCTACCTAGCCAACTCTACATCAATCCCCAAAAAATCCAGAAAAATCAATCCCATGAAATCCCAAGCTTGTTTGGTAACGAAGCTTGGGTAGTTACGACCATACCTACAATGTGAGTCCCCCCAGTTATAAGTTGGCTTAGATTCGCCCCAGTAACTATAGTATACTATAGTTATTAGCACCATAAACCATAGATATTGGAGTTAAAAACCAACTGAACGCTATCTTGGGGGCCTCACATTGTAGTTATGACCAACTTGGATACCCAGGCACCACCTTCTTAAAACGTTGCCTGAGGTTGTCCAGATGGCTGTCACAAGGTAACGATGCGGGGAAAAGGGGCTTCAAATCGGATTTGACCATGGAAAATGGGCAGTTCAACAAAGGGATTTACGACATACTGTGGATGGAAGAAATCCTGCATCACCAAACGGATGGTTGAAACCCTATGAACAATGGGATAAACCACCTATCAACTGGTGCAGGATTTCTTCCATCCACCATATTATCCATCAACCATAGAGGTTTGAGTTTAGAATGGTCAGTTGGATTTTTGAATGATCAATCCTTGCAGTTATGGCCCTTTACCAGTTATAAGATGTTATAATTACTAACAAGTCACCCCATTGATAGACTGTTTTTCATCCCATAGAAATAACATGTTTTTTCACTAACAAAAGGTGAACAAAAATGGCCAGAACTGTATAAACCTATGATCATCCCAACATTGGTGGTTTCATTTTTTTGGGGGTCCAGCGGTCCAGCGGACTTTAGGGGATGATCTTAGCACGTTTCAATGAAATTCAGATCTATGTCCCACGGAGACTGCGATTTTCTTCATGCCAAGGAGGAACATCTCTGATATATGTGGATGAATGGTGTCTACTCAGAGAGAGAGAGAGAGAGAAAGATTGAGTGTACCCTTGTGAGGGTACCTTTAAGCTTGTTATATTTGTATGGATACGTTCCTACCCACACATAGTATGAGACCCTTCCTCAGACCCGCAAAAAAAGCTGGGCAGGTTGCTCATCATAAACAATCGTGAGCCATGTTAATTCCAGCGTACTATACCTTAACGTTTTCCCCACCTGCCAGGTGAGGGTGTCTAGATTTTAACAATGGTGCAACTTTTCTTCTTCTTCTTCTTCTTCTTCTTCTTCCGACTACTCCTCCTCCTCCTCCTCCTTGTCGTCATCTCTGCCTCCTCTCTGCCTTCTCCTTCTCCCTCTGCCAGCTCGACGTGACTGGGGAATCTGTGAAGTATGCCTGGACGATCTCTATATATAGCGATCTTGGAGTATGCCTGGACGCGAATTCCATATCGCGAGCTCAGCATGTGGAGGGTGCCTGGACCCGTCTTTCTCCTTCTCTGTCTCTGTCTCTTTCTCTATATTTCTTCCTCTTTCTCTCCTTCTTCTTCCTCTTCCTCTTCCTCGTCCTTTTCCTCTTCCTCTTCCTCTCTCTCTCTCTCTCTTTTTCTTTCTCTTTCCTTTTTACACACAAAAAGAAACTTAAGGTGGAAAATGTAATGCAGTCAACATGCTGAACCCCACTCACCACAAGTACTACAAGCACTACAAATATGACATGTTCATCGGCAAAAAGAAAGTTTTAATTAGATCTCAATCGTCACCATTTGATTACTTAAATGTGGGATGTTTTTGCACCCAACTTCACAAGGGTATATTTGTTGAGGGAGGGGGAGGGGCCACAGACTAATCAGGATACAACATTACCATCTGGTTGGTGGTTTGTTTTTTTTAATATATTTTTCTATATATATTGGAAATATCATCATCCCAACTGACTCTCATATTTTTCAGAGGGGTAGGTTGAAACCACCAACCAGCCATGAATTCCCCATGTTTGAGGTTGATAAATCTGAACCCGCCGGCCCTGGGGCCCCACAGGGGCCCTGCGTCCCGGAGGCGCTGCGAGTTGCGATTCGCGCCTGGTGCACCAAGCGGAACAGGAGTCGTTCGCGATGTGGTGACAGCGCCGCATCTTTGGGTTTTCAATGTGGTGACCCGGAATCATGCAGTTATGACCATTTACCAGTTATAAGTACTTATAACCCCATTTATAGAATGTATAATCCCATTTATAACCAGTTGTTATAACTAATAAGTGGCCATAACTGTGTGAGAAGTGTGGGGATTTTTTTATAATCCAAGAACGGGGAATGCCTACAAATCAGCGTATAATGGAATGATTGAAGGATTTTGAACACTGCTCATGTGTCTGAAGGATTTTATTGGTGTATAATTTCCATTAACTAATTGGATGTATCTACGTTAAACCCTGGCTTACCATAGGTGAATTATAACTACTAGTAACTAGAGACCTAGGGACCATTATTGTATAATTACTTGGATAAACCCACTTAGATGCAGCCACTTATGGCTATCGGTTCGACAAAAAATCCCTTTACGATTCCTTTGATGCGCATCCATTCGTAAATTTTCTGCATGAATTGACATGATCTAGTTATATTAGTTATGGAAGCCATGGCCCATTTGTTTAAAAACATATCATGATTTACCTGTTAACTTGCACCAGTTGGCGGGGAATAAAATGAATAAGCGTTTCAACATGTCGCGGGAATGCGGGTTCACCCCAAAAAAAATAAACATATTCCAGGTGGAAAAACATACATTCAGGAGCCCATGGAAAATACTAACATATGATCTTAGATAACCCAATCAATGTAAAACTTGGGCTCTCAACTTCCGAAATTTCCACTCCGAAGTGCTGCAGGCAGCATTCCTTTTTTTTTGTTCTCCTTTCACCTTTCGCTCTTAGAGTTGGAAATCCAACTCACAAGTAACGCACACAGCCAGAATTGGCCCAGAACCTTAACCCCAGGTTCCAGGATATGGTTGTGGCTTCCAACCAGTTGGCCCGTTGGCCCCCTACAGAAGCCTTTCCAGTTTGTTTGATAGACCAAAAAATAAGAGCAACGAACGGAACCAAAAACATAACTAGTTTTTTGTTGGCAGGCGCAAGGGACCAAAGTCTAAGTCTCAGATCAGATTGGCACACAGCCTCATTTCTTCAAAGGCCGCTGGATGAACTCGGCAATGTTCCTCAGCTGGGATGTGAGTCACAATTGTTCAATGATGCCAGGGTTCCTAAGTGTGACTGCCAACATTGTCATCCTCATTCCTGATTGTCATCGTCATTGTCACCATCATCACCATCACCATCACCATCACCATCATCACCGTCATCACCATCACCATCATCATCATCATCATCATCATCATCATCATCAATGTCATCATTGTCGTCATCAAGGCCCCAACCATCACCCTCATGACCTCAAGGCCTTAAGGATTTTACAGTAATTGATTTGATATGTTGTTTAAGGCTTAAAGCTTCTAGGAGGAGATAGCAAATTAACCACTTGTAATAGTAATATACAGTTTGTTTTTAATCAAGGTACCTAGTGCCCAAAGCAGCCTTTGCCAACTGAGCCTTCTCATCTGCGGCGGAACTCTTGCGCTTGGACCCTCCATGTGTCTTGCTGTCGTCATCGTGCTTGCTTTCTTTCTTGTTTTTGGCACCCTTCTCGTTCTTGCTTTTCTTCTCTTTCTTATCCTTTTCTTTTTTGCTTTTCTTCTCTTTGGCAGCGTGTTTCTTTGCCTCTGCCACAGCAACTGCTTTTGTCCTCGCCAAATCCTTTTCATCAGATGGCTCACGATCAGGGTCATCTTCAGCTTCTGCCGTGCTGTTCGCATCGTCTGCATCTGGCGATTCTGATCTGTCACCTTCACCATCTGCCGAAGCGTGGTCAGCCCCATGTTCAAATTCACTTTCATCATTGTCATTGCCCAGCCGCTGCCTCTTGCACAACGGAGCCTCGTCGGTGCCCAATGCAATGAACCAAAAAAACAAAAAAGAGCCTCTAAGAGTGAGGTGTAGACTTGATGCAAACCCTGTTTCAAAATAAAACGCAGTTGAAGGAAACACTCCAAGCAGCCTCCTTTTCCTCTCGAATCTTACTCTCTGTCAAAGGCTGCTCAATGATCTTCTGCTGCTCGATCTCCTTCTGTTCTCCCTTTTCACATGCCAGGTTTCCATTTGCATTTTGATCCACATCATGTTCTTGGCCATTCTCCTTAGGACTCTCTGTGGCATTGTCAATCTTGGTTTCCGCCCCAACTGGTGGCTTCGAAGTGTCATTCTCTGGGGTTTCATCAATTTTTTCCTCTGAACCTTCTACAACCTCCTCAGCTTTGTCCTCAGTCTTTGCAGCCTCTGCAACAGCATTCTGAAGAGTGGCAGCGGACGAAGGATCAGGTACCATTGGTGCACCAGAAGCTAAATCAGGAATCGAAGCACGCTCTGGTTCAGGCTGAAGAGTTTCTGAGGTCTCAGCCTCCTTCGGTCAAGGAAAAATAATAAGAGACACTCACAAACACACAGGTGAGGATTTTCTTTGTATTGAAGAATGACAAGCTATTGACTCAGGATGACTTGAGGTTGTGTAGGTTGGGGCTGGGAGTCGGAGTCGGGAGACAATTTCTGTCCTTGTAGCTCCCCAGATCTCCGAATCCTTCATCTTGCTCATCTTCCAAAGCACTTGGCCATGAGAACTCGATCAACTTGGTGGTCAAAAGTGTTTCTGGTCTTGAGGCAACCTGCAATCAGGAGTCAGGTGGCGTCAGGTGTAAGGAGTGTTTCAAAAACGGAAGGTACATTGACATTGAAACACTGGAAAACAATACATTACTTCTTCCCCATTGGTAAGTCGTCCTGTCATCACCAAAAAAATGTCGACCAAGAAACCTGTTTCATCGCCGTCATAAAGGAAGCCGTAGTTGCTGGTGCGAAAACATTTCGAATGATCCTGGAATTTAAGTTGGTGATGAAAACCACAGACATCAGGCCCAACCAAAGTGTTTTACAAAACTTGTTTTCTTCAAGTTTCTTGACTTGATTGGTAAGGTAACAAAAGAGATTCAAGCTCAAAACTGAAAACTGAAGCACAAAAAAAATGCAATGTAGCCAAATCCAAGGCTCCTCACTGCAACTGATGTGTCCGAGATTCCTTTCTCCACTGAAACATATCCACATGGACAAAACAGAATGTCACCTGTGCGGAGATGCACTGCGGAAAGGCTCGGCATTGCGAACGTGTCCGGCAAATCTTTGGAATGTAGCTTTCCAAACATATCCAATGCCGTTTTCAGGCATTTGTTGGCGGATGGAAAAAACGACAGCAGTTCATCCACTGCCGCAAGCACCACAAGTCTGCCACCCGAGACTTGGCCCTGGATGGTGCACAACCCTTGGGATTCCAATCCAGAGTAGACAGTATCAACTTTGCGTCCGCTGATCCACACCGAAGTCATCTGCTCGTACGCAGACGCCAAATCAGGGTGGTCACCTAGCACTTGCAACATCTGGTTGGAATCCGGTAGAATTTCACCACCACACGTACCCCAAGATGCTGGCAGGATCTGCGAAAGTGACCCTGTAACCGCCTTCGTGAGACCACTGTCATCCTCCTTGTTGATAATGATCCTGAAGGCAATGAAGGCAACGTCGAAAGTTTGAACAGTAATTACTTCTTTCAAAACTTTTTTTGTTCCGCTTGGTCTTTAAAATCTTTTTCGAACAAATTGTGTTTGGAGTTTGAGTTGATTAGTTTAGTTTATAGTTTATATAGTTTCGTTTGACTAGAGTTTAAAAAATACCAAGCCGTCCGACCCAAGTCCAAACAGATAAACTAATTACAGATCAGATAAGAGTCACAGCTTTGTCACTCCCGTTTGAAAGCAACTTGTCCCGAAAACTGTTGATCGTGCGCTCAAGCACCGAGCGTGCATCATCACTCTTGACCAAACACTTCATGATGTTCCGACCCTTTCTGATGCAAAAGGGTCGGGCAGCATCAGTGACACCGTTCACAAGCTCCGCCGCATGATCCTTGATCATCCGGATCTCCCTGTGCTGAATCACATCCTTGATGCATTGCAAAAGCATTGGGTCGTTGATTCCAACTGACTTTGCAATGGAGGTCCTTCCATTGAGAGTGCGAGCAATCTTGCCCTCTTGATCATCCTTGTTCTGCTTGTTCTTCTTGCTGTTCTGCAGCTTGGTAAGTGCTGTTCTCATCTTCTTCATGTCATGGACTGCCCTGCGAAGTGCGGATGCCACTTTCTGACAAGCTTTGAGGGATGTTTCTACCTCTTTATGTCTTTCTTGGCACTTCTCCTGTGTGGATGCGGCAAGTAAATCAAAGTATAAGCAATTTGCTCAATTTGCTCAAAACATTTTATTATACAGATCAAAGCATCAAAGTTCTGAATTAAATAAATCGATATTAAATTATATGTAGTAAGAGTAGATGATAGTGTATATATACATTGCAACTCACAACTTCAAACCAAACCTTGGATCAGTTCAAAAGCATGCAAACTAAAAACACATTCTAGATTTGTTCTGTCCTTCGTCTCGCAATCTTCGAACACAGATTCGGCTTTGACCAGCGAAGGGATCTGGTTCACATTGATGTCCTTCGTAACATTCTCCTTTAAGAAGGCGTCACTGTTCATCAAGCTACACAATGCTTCCTTCAGGACATCTACCTGACAGAGTTTGTAAACGACTGATAGTGAATGATCAGATATGCTCTGGCTCTGACTGACCCGTTTTTTGTTTTAAAAAACATGATTATCAGAAAAAAGAACAAAGTGAAACTTGAGCCGTGCCTGGCGAGTCTCATCATCAACTGAACCGATCTGAATTTCATTGTCTACCAGAAAATCGGTAAGCTGGTCGAAGGACTGCGTGTAGAGAGCTTTGCAAGTCAACGCACGGGTCTCCACAATGAACAGACACTTCATCATTCCTGCCTCCTGGCCTGCCAGCTCGCTCTTCAAAATGTTGTCCACTGTGGCTCCATTGTCCAAGCAACCTTCGTTGAAACCAAAAAACACCAATCAATTGGCAACTTGGCATGTGACCGGCAAGGAAAAGAAGCTTTCAAATTTCAAATGCATATCGTTTTCAAACAGACACCATTTGCTGAGTTCGCTGGATAGATGACCCTTCGCTTTTAACCTTGATCCAGTTTTGATTCCATATGTAAAGTTACACCTCAACTTCAACCGCCACGAAACTTTTGAAGTTTGCCATAAGCTCCTCCTCTGACTCGCAATACTTCTCGTAGAAGCTGATGGCTTCCTTCAGGTGGGTTTCGGCTGTCACGGCGACACTGTTGACCTTGACGACAAATTTGGCCCTCATTTGTGTTACATCGATCAGCTTGGTAGACTTTCCAGTGCCACTTCCTCGCTTCTTTGCCTTTGCCCTGGCTGCAGTTGAGTTGCCACTGCCAAGCAAGGTGAAGTCCGTAAACTCTGCTTGGAAATCAACCAACTTGGCGGAGGTAAGAAAGTCAGAGTCACACTCATGGTTCACCTCATGAGGTTCAGTCTGGGCAAAATATAAACTATAAATTTAAACCAAGACCTGATCACGTCCCTTAACCCATATTGAGCAAAACAATAAACAGGAATGAATCTTCTCCACCACCTCCCGATGTCCCACAGTCTGGAGTCTGGAGACATATATCTTAGATACACAAATAGGCCATCAAAAATCTTTGATTAAAGGCAAAGGCAAGTATCAAAGCTCGCCACTTTCAACTGCGCCTCTTTGACCTGGGCTTCGTTTGGGTTATTCGACCGCTGAGACAACCGCGTAGCTCTGCTGGTGGACTCCTCTTCATACTTTTCCCTGGTCAAATCGACTTGAATCCATACGCACTGTCTGTCCTCCATTTCGCCGCTCCTTCTGTTGAGAACCTGGCAGGGGTATATATAGTGTTGCCAAAAACGACTAAAAACCCTAAACTTGAGAAACTTGACAATAGCAAACTGGCCAGCCAAAACAATTATTGAACATTTTGCGGCCAAGGCCGGCCTTTTGGGTGAAAGCTTCGGTTCCGTTGCATCCGCTCACATCACGGAGCCATGCCCGCAAGCATTCTTCTTCTGTTAACTTGTCTTGGCCTCTTTCATCGCTCCTTTGGGATGTGCAGTTTCTTGACTTCAAAAACAAACATATTAAATTACTTTACTTCAAGTTTTCCCCACCATGATATTTATACGCTTTGTTACTGGCAAATCTTCTGGAATTCTATCTGGCATTCTATTCTATCTGACATTTTATCTGGCATTCTATCTGGCATACCTTCTGGCATTCTATCTGGCATACCTTCTGGCATTCTATCTGGCATATCTTCTGGCATTCTATCTGGCATATCTTATGGCATTCTATCTGACATTCTATCTGGCATATCTTCTGGCATTCTATCTGGCCGTTGAGGTCCAGCGGTGCGCACTGAGCTCGGAAGGTCCCAGGTTGAGGTCCAGCGGTGCGCACTGAGCTGGGAAGGTCCCAGGTTGAGGTCCAGCAGTGCACACTGAGGTCGGAAGTTGACGAAGAGCTTGGCGAAGAGTTGGCAAGGCGGAAGTAAAGGTGGAAGTTGATGCAGACATGTCGAGGAGAAACTGGAGCAAGAGGCGGAGGAGGAGGAGGCGGAGGACAACAGCTCTGATAAAATCTAACAACCCTCACCTGGCAGGTGGGGAATTATTGTTGCAACACTGAATTTGTGACGATTGGTGAATATCCAAAACTACTCTCCATCACCTAACAAAACAAAATACGCGCCGAGGTTCATAAAGTACATGCTGTACTTCACCCAATCCATTGCCTTAAAGCCAGCTGCCGTCTTCTGAGCTCTTTTGGCCTCTTGTCTTTCCATATACCTCAGTACTAGGTTGGTGTCGAAGGCATTAAAAAATATCTCTCGACATGTCGACATTGATATACTTAAGCCTATAAACACCTTGAAAATCCTTGAAAAATAAACACATTACTTTCTTTGATCAGATACTCCAGCAAGTCCCACTTGGTACGCACTCCTCTGCCTGTCTGTGGAATAGCTGAAGTATGTTCCTTCATCAATCGCCTGTACTCTGGCAAATTGCTCTTGCGCAATCCTTGAAACCATGTTGCGAGCTTCTGGTCGCTGCAATTGCTGAGAATGCTGCGGCACCTTTTTGAACAAGCCATGCAGTGATCCTTCAACACATGGCTCGAAGTGGAATCCATCTCGGAAATCTTTTCCTCGCAGTTCCTCAAAGTTGTGCTTGGAAATTTGGATCAATGGATCAATGATAAAAGTATGCAAATATCTGCATTGCATGCATGCACAAAGCTTGTGAATGAAACTCACTCGAAAACCAAAAAATAAAAGTGATAAGCAAGATAACCCATGACTAGTCTCACACATGTGCCAGCTGCAAATGTAGCACACAAAGCCATAGCCTTGTCCGACATGGTGGGAACCAACCTGTCGGTGTCACATTTCAGGGTAAACGATCTTTCATAACATCGTAACGTGTTCTTGTTTGGAGTTAGTTAGGAGGTTCAAAAATGGCTGAAAGGGTCAAAAAGTTTATTCCCGATTCATGGCCAAAAATATCCAAGTTTCATTCTTACAGCATTAGTACCTCTATCTCTGTCTCTGCCTGTGCTTAACTCCAAAACTCCAACAACATGTTCTTTCGACTTTTGACATTGACAAATCTGCCTTCGGCAGCGCGTCAGCTCCAAAGGGCACTGAGCACTCTTAGGAACGCTCGTTGTCGGTCACTTCACTGAGACCGTGAGAAAATGAAAAAGCTGCGGAGATTGCAAGATCGTCTGGTCAATCCCAATGCAGCAGCATCCAATTATTGCACAACTGGGGGCTGATACAAATGTCGTCCCCCAAAAAAAGTTAGATCCTTCATCCTTCGTCCAAAAAAATGCAGTTTCAAAAGTTTCAAGCTGACCGTTGAGAGCCTAGTCACTAGTTCCAGCCTTTTTCCTAATGCTTTGCATCTGGTGTAAGGCAGAAAGCTATCTATTTGACAAATTCAAATGGAATCTAAAACTATTCATTTGTAGGGGCTTCTGCTCCTTGCACGAGGACTCATCTTCTCTGATGGAACTGGCAATGGGGTTGCTGCCTGAATTTCCGGGGCAGGACTAAGATCAGATTCTTCACCAGGCGATGCTGCTGATGGCGCTGCACCAGCAGTCCCTGCAACTGTTGGCTCATAGGTAACTTCAGAAAGCTTCGGTTGGTTGCCGTCCTCTTTATCCACCTCTTCTGATTTAACCATGCCATCGAGAGAGTCGGCTTTCTCTGTAGGTGCATTGGAGCTAGTTTGTTGAGGATGTTCAGCAAGAGTTGAACCGGTGGCCATAGCTTGGCTCCGCACGGCTTGGTCGATCACATCGAAATCAAAACCAAGTATTTTGCTCCGCCAGTCGGAGGAACCAGAGCTGGCGGCATTTGCATTGGCATTGGCATTGTTCCTTTCTCCATGTCGCTGCTGCGGCAACAAACCTTCCTTGTATAACACCATGGCTTGCACCAGATGCAGTAAACATTGGATCATCATCTCAACAATCTTGCCTGCGGGAAGAGCAGGCCCCGCGTCAGGACAACCTGGTGTCCTGCGTCTTTCCTCATCCATAACAGCAGGAAGCAAATTTAGAGCGAGTGTAGGCATTGGTCTGGAACATTTGAGAAGGCAGATACATGGCGGCAGAAATGATAAAAACATTGGAACTGGCCCTGGCAATGTGGTTGTCTCAAACGCAACTGGTTCGAACATGTGCTTGGTCTCTCTGTCTTGTTATCTGCTACTTGCCTCTGCTACGTACATGTTAGGTTTGAAGTATTTTACAACATGAAACTTAAACAGTCCTGTGACCCTGGAGCTCTGAATTGTATTTTGCCTCGGCCTCTCGCAGAGCCAACCAAGTATATCGGCTCTTCCAAGACCAAGTAGAGGTTTGTCAGCAGATTTGGATGTAATCACTCACATCTAGTCATTCAGGCGCCTGCGAAGAGTCTGCTAGGCTACCGACACTCACCGTCTGGGCTCTTGGTTCTTGAGTCGTTGTCATTCAACCAGGCAACAACAATAACATGTTATGTTTCGTCGGGCTGTATCAAAACTGATTTCCATCCCAGCTTCCGGTGGAAAACCTATCGGGGTTGCATGTGGCAAAGCACATATGCCACAAAACTGGTAGCCACTGCTTGATTAAACGAATTCCCGCTCATCCGTCGCATGGCCACATAAGAGATCTGATCAAAACGAATTGGAGCCTCTCTGTGCCCTCCGGCTTCCCACAGCTTCTTCTTGTTTGGGACCATCTGTGCTGTCAACAACTCCTGCAAACTGCAAACAGAGCAGATGTTCTGAACAATACCTGTGAGATGCGACATGACTTTGATCCAGGAAGATATGTATGAGAAAACACCATCATATGAGGATGGAATGACAAACTTGAAGAACATTAACATATAGAAAAGTGCAAAGCCAGTGCACGATGTCCTGAGGTAAGAAAGGCCGATTCTCTCTCAAAGACCACCTTAGAACACAAATGCGCATATGTCGCAGGGAAACTAACAAACCTTGATCACATTGTCAACTGTGCAGACTGTCCAATGTCGTTCTTCCACCTATCAAACCAATACTCTCCCTCAAAAAAAACACACAAAATTTACTTGCATCTGGATCATCAGGTTATATGTGTATACATCTATATATATATATATATAACTATATACTCATGTATGTTATGCAACTGCCTGCTTGCTTCCAAGATGCATATGAGAGATACTTGCCAAGATCGTCGGCATTGTTTTGGAACAATGCTGCTGAAAGTCTGGGTTCTGATCCAGGTTGGCCGCAAGGTCGTTGTACTTCAAAGCTTCTGTCACCCATGGCATTGCCATATAGGTGTTCAAATTGCTCTGAGCGCTTAGAGGAAGCAACCTCAACTTGCATTGGTTAAGGTTGGTTAAAACCCTGGTGGAAGACAGTTTTATGATTTAGCAAATTCGAGGCGGCAATATTTATATATTTTCATGGTGAGACATGTTACAAGTGTAAAGTTCGAATTCACAGGGATAATTTGGGAAAAACAAATGGCAGGCAAATGCAAACATCAATATGGATTCAAAGAGCTCGTCGAATGGATCGGACGATCCTTTCATTGCAATGTCGGCCAGGTACTTCTTGTAAGCCTGGACCTGCAGTAGCAGAAGTGTACTTTCATAACCAAGGGATTTCTAAGTTCAAGTAGAAACTAGTAGAAACAAAAAAATGCCAAGTTGGAAGTTGGAAAAAAAAACTGGCCTCGTCATCGTCTGCCAACAGCCAAAGGCTTGCATCCAGAACACATTTGCTCGACAACTCGTGTAGTTCACAAAGTCCACGTGGAAGCGTCCACTTGTTGCTCAGAATTGCATCCCATGCTCTGTTGCGCTGCACTGGCACACCGAAGTCTGCAGCGTTCAGAAGTGTGTGGTAGTCCGTGTATGTACCCAAAGTCTGCTCGAAAATCTGAAAGGGGAAACGCGGTGTACACTCATGAATCACTAGAGCAGGCTTGGTCACATAGCACAGAGATATGAAAATCGCACACAAAATCACATATTGCCCGAGGAAGCCAGCGCCCTTCCCCATGCTGCTGAAATCTTTGCATACTGATCCAGCGATAATAACCAAGAACTCTTCTGCAGCCAGATCCGAAATCCAAACCTGTCACAATGTACTTTGTGGTTGGCTGGCTACTAGCTATTATTTCAAACTTTGGATATAACCACAGACAGGACACATACACATAGACAATATTTGTTTGATTGAAAAATTGAAAAACAAACATGTATCTCGTCAAAATTTGACTTGACTATGAAATGCATTTACTTTATCAAAGAATGTGGTGCCTCCTTGCCATCCACGGTAGGCACTGTCTTGTTGAATGCTCCTTTCATGGTCATGATCTTGACCAAGTCAACCATCAAGGTGTTGCCAATGGTCTTGAGTTCCTCCTGAAGCGATTTCAACTTCTTCTGCAGTTCGGCAACAGACTTGTCCTTGCTCTTTTTGGCCTAACAGGGCAAGAACATATTTCTAATCTTCGTAAACACTTAGTTACAACTCACAAAGAACAAAACTCAGACCAGACTCAGACCAGACCTAACTACCTCAGAAAACATCAAAATATAAATAGAACTAATCGCCTCGTTCGCAGCAATTGTCTTTGCTTTCTTGTCAGACTTGTCCTTCGACTCTTTTTTGGACTCTGATGTTTGAGTGGCTCGAAGATCTCGAATGTCGGCCTTCAACTTCTCAACAGCTTGACACTTCGCATCTCTCTTCTTCTTGAACTTGTCTACCAAAGATCTGCATGTGTTGATGGTAGCCGGAGTCAGGAAATGTTGCAGATCATTCAAAATAGCTTCTGGAGGGTGCTGATGTTGCTGCAATGTTGCGATGCACTCTGTGGCCACATCACATGCCAGCTTATATCCTTAGTATGTCTTTGTGTTTGTGCATCAAGGCTGCAGCAAACCTAATCATGTACAATTGACTGTTGGAAACGGCCTGCATATCAGAAAAAAATGCTGTTTACTGCACAAAATGGAAATGCTGGAAAAATCAAAGGCAAGTTGCGTGGCTGAAGCGGCCTCTCAAGGCCAAGATCAGGTGCAACGGCTTCAACACCAGCAAAGATGTTCTGCATCAAGAGCTCTGCTCCACCAAGACCAGAGAACAAGGATACCAAGCTCACCTTGCTGAGATTGTCACGTAGCCGTTTGATTCCCTCCAGACCGTTGCTCTGATACAACCTCTCCACGGTCGCAATGTTGTGCCTGAAACATTCTTCAACTGTACGAGGAGAAGGATTCCAAGCTTTGTTCTGAGAAGCTGGTAGCTCCTTCCGCTGCCCCAGGCTCTTTTAAAAAGTAAATCGATGCCAAAAAAAATGTGGCATGCATGCCACTGAATGCTAATGCTATCCTATGTGGAAATTCTACTTACACATTCAAATGCAATAGCAAAAACAAATCAGCACATAACATAACATAACAAAAACTTGCCACAATATGACATAAGATAACACCACATTCCAATACATAACATCACATTACATAACATGACAAACAAAAACAACACATCACATAACAGAAAACCATAACTTAACTTAAAATAACTTAGCATAACATAACAACCATTGCATATCAATACATAACACAAACAGGAAAACACAACAACAAAAAAAATGACCGTGACCCCCAAACCGATCCTCTTCCACATAGTCTGTGACACTGCACACACGTGGCATTTCTGGTGTTGTGGGTGGTTGGCTCTTGGCTGGCGACCCTGTGCCAGCATGAGACGGAGACTTGGAACCTGACCCAGAACTATCCTTGGAACTAGTTGTGCTCTCCATGTCGGAATCACTTTCATTTTTTTGCTCCACATCTGCTTTGGTATTGCGTCTTGAGACCTGGGCACTCTTGGCACGAGCCTTTGCTTTCGGACGTGACTTTGCTTTGGCAACGGTTGCCATAGGTTTTTTCTCCGCTGCCTCCACCTTTGCTTTCGCCTTTGCCTTCGGACGTTTCATAACTGAAACTTTCATTGCTTTCATAGCTTTCATAGCTTTCATAGGCGCTTTCATTGCTTTCATGGTTTTCATGGCTCACACTACACTGCCCAGCAATGGAGGCCAGCAGCGTGCTACAGGCTACAGAAAACAACCAAACCAAACAGTTGTAACGTAATATATTTACATATTTATAGTATCTGCTGAAGTTGGTGAAATATTCTTCTCTCAACTTGAGAACCTTGGTTTCCCATTTGCTGAGCCGTAGAGCGGCGCTCAAAGAAACACATTCAGAGAACTTAAACATCTTGCAGCAATTGGACTGGGTCTGCTAGTTGTCATATCAGAAACTTCCAACAACATATGCATATATATATATACATATAAATATAGTTAATACATATGATGACCATGTTTCTAATATGTAAGCAAGTATAATCTCATACATTCAATAAACAAATCCCTTGAAATGTATAGAGTTTTTTTCAAAAAACAAAAAAAATAAAAATAATAAATGAAAAAAATATTTGTGCATTTTCTTTTTCAAAAAAAATGTTCAAAACACTTATGAAAAAAACACATTTGACTGAAGAAATTCCCTGGAGATTTCTCCATTCTGAATGAAAAAAATCTGTATAGAGTTTTTATTTGTTCAAAAAACTTCTGAAAAAAAATGAATTGAGAAATCTCCATTCAGAATGGGGATTTCTCCATTCTGAATGGAGAAAATTCTATGTTGAGATTAAAAAAAAAATGTTCCAAAAACTTCTGAAACAAAATGAATGGAGAAATCTCCATTCAGAATGGAGATTTCTCCATTCTGAATGGCGAACATTATTTGTGGAGTTTCGTTTTACAAAAAAAAAGTTCAAAACACTTCTAAAAAAAATGAAAGGATTAATCTCCATTCAGAATGGAGATTTCTCCAATCTGAATGGAGAAGATTATCTGTGGAATTTGTTTTTCATAAAAACAAAGTTCAAAACACGTTTGAAAAAAATGAATGGAGAAATATCCATTCAGAATCCAGAATGGAGATTTCTCCATCCTGGAATGGATATGTTTTTTCTGTCTAAAGTTTTTTTTTCAAACAAAGTTCCTAAAACTTTTGGCAAATGAATGGAGAAAACGCATATGTGTATAGGTTTTTTTTTCAAACACAGTTCCAAAAACTTCTGAAACAAAATGAATGGATAAATCTCCATTCAGAATGGAGATTTCTCCATTCTGAATGGAGAAAATTCTCTGTTGAGATTTTTTAAAAGAATGTTCAAAACGCTTCTGAAAAAAAATGAATGGAGAAATCTCCATTCAGAATGGAGAAAATTCTCTGTTGAGATTTTTTTAAAAGAAGGTTCAAAACGCTTCTGAAAAAAAAATGAATGGAGAAATCTCCATTCAGAATGGAGATTTCTCCATTCTGAATGGAGAAAATTCTCTGTTGAGATGTTTTTTTAAAGAAGGTTCAAAACGCTTCTCAAAAAAAAGTGAATGGAGAAATCTCCATTCAGAATGGAGATTTCTCCATTCTGAATGGAGAAAATTCTCTGTTGAGATTTTTTTTAAAAGAAGGTTCAAAACGCTTCTCAAAAAAAAGTGGATGGAGAAATCTCCATTCAGAATGGAGATTTCTCCATTCTGAATGGAGAAAATTCTCTGTTGAGATTTGTTTTCAAAAAAAAGGTTCAAAACGCTTCTGAAAAAAAAGTGAATGGAGAAATCTCCATTCAGAATGGAGATTTCTCCATTCTGAATGGAGAAAATTCTCTGTTGAGATGTTTTTTTAAAGAAGGTTCAAAACGCTTCTCAAAAAAAAGTGAATGGAGAAATCTCCATTCAGAATGGAGATTTCTCCATTCTGAATGGAGAAAATTCTCTGTTGAGATTTGTTTTCAAAAAAAATGTTCAAATCACTTCTGAAAAAAATGAATGGAGAAATCTCCATTCAGAATGGAGATTTCTCCATTCTGAATGGAGAAAATTCTCTGTTTATATTTTTTTAAAAGAAGGTTCAAAACGCTTCTCAAAAAAAAAAGTGAATGGAGAAATCTCCATTCAGAATGGAGATTTCTCCATTCTGAATGGACAAAATTCTCTGTTGAGATTTTTTTAAAGAAGGTTCAAAACGCTTCTCAAAAAAAAGTGAATGGAGAAATCTCCATTCAGAATGGAGATTTCTCCATTCTGAATGGAGAAAATTCTCTGTTGAGATTTTTTTTAAAAGAATGTTCAAAACGCTTCTGAAAAAAAAATGAATGGAGAAATCTCCATTCAGAATGGAGATTTCTCCATTCTGAATGGAGAAAATTCTCTGTTGAGATTTTTTTTTTAAGAAGGTTCAAAACGCTTCTGAAAAAAAATGAATGGAGAAATCTCCATTCAGAATGGAGATTTCTCCATTCTGAATGGAGAAAATTCTCTGTTGGGATTTGTTTTCAAAAAAAAGGTTCAAAACGCTTCTGAAAAAAAAGAATGGAGAAATCTCCATTCAGAATGGAGATTTCTCCATTCTGAATGGAGAAAAATGAATAATTTGTGTTTTTTTTTTATTTCCCGAACTTCCAGGCCAAAAAAAAATATTGAAAAAATCATCTCCATTCAAAAAAAAAATAAGCGTTTTTCAACTACTTTTGAAGTAACGAACGCTTATTTTTTTGAAAAAACTGATGCAAAACGCTTCTCAAAAAAAAGTGAATGGAGAAATCTCCATTCAGAATGGAGATTTCTCCGTTCAAATTTTTCAGCAGAGAATTTTCCAAAAAAAAATGAAAACGCTTCTGAAAAAAGTGAACGGAGAAATCTCCATTCAGAATGGAGATTTCTCCATTCACTTTTTTTTGAGAAGCGTTTTGCATCAGTTTTTTTAAAAAAAATAAGCGTTCGTTACTTCAAAAGTAGTTGAAAAACGCTTATTTTTTTTTTGAATGGAGATGATTTTTTCAATTTTTTTTTTGGCCTGGGAGTTCGGGAAATAAAAAAAACACAAATTATTAATTTTTCTCCATTCAGAATGGAGAAATCTCCATTCTGAATGGAGATTTCTCCATTCTTTTTTTTCAGAAGCGTTTGGAACCTTTTTTTTGAAAAAAAATCTCAACAGAGAATTTTCTCCATTCAGAATGGAGAGAAAATCTCCATTCACTTTTTTTTGAGAAGCGTTTTGAACCTTCTTTAAAAAAAATCTCAACAGAGAATTTTCTCCATTCAGAATGGAGAAATCTCCATTCTGAATGGAGATTTCTCCATTCACTTTTTTTTTCAGAAGCGTTTTGAACCTTTTTTTTGAAAAAAAATCCCAACAGAGAATTTTCTCCATTCAGAATGGAGAAATCTCCATTCTGAATGGAGATTTCTCCATTCACTTTTTTTCAGAAGCGTTTTGAACCTTTTTTTTGAAAACAAATCCCAACAGAGAATTTTCTCCATTCAGAATGGAGAAATCTCCATTCTGAATGGAGATTTCTCCATTCACTTTTTTTTGAGAAGCGTTTTGAACCTTCTTTTAAAACAAATCCCAACAAAGAATTTTCTCCATTCAGAATGGAGAAATCTCCATTCTGAAATGGAGATTTCTCCATTCGCTTTTTTTTGAGAAGCGTTTTGAACCTTCTTTAAAATAAAATCTCAACGGAGAATTTTCTCCATTCAGAATGGAGAAATCTCCATTCTGAATGGAGATTTCTCCATTCACTTTTTTTTTTCAGAAGTGTTTGAACATTTTTTTTGAAAACAAATCTCAACAGAGAATTTTCTCCATTCAGAATGGAGAAATCTCCATTCTGAATGGAGATTTCTCCATTCACTTTTTTTTGAGAAGCGTTTTGAACCTTCTTTAAAAAAACATCTCAACAGACTTTTTTTGAGATAATTTCTCCATTCAGGATGGAGAAATCTCCATTCTGAATGGAGATTTCTCCATTCACTTTTTTTTCAGAAGCGCTTTGAACCTTTTTTTGAAAACAAATCCCAACAGAGAATTTTCTCCATTCAGAATGGAGAAATCTCCATTCTGAATGGAGATTTCTCCATCCACTTTTTTTTGAGAAGCGTTTTGAACCTTCTTTTAAAAAAATATCAACAGAGAATTTTCTCCATTCAGAATGGAGAAATCTCCATTCTGAATGGAGATTTCTCCATTGATTTTGTTTCAAAAGTTTGTGGAAGTGTTTTTTGAAAACAAACTCTATATAGATGTTTTTCTCCATTCAAATGTTGTTTCAAAAGTGTTTTCATGTTTTTTTAAAAAAAAAACAAACTCCACAA